AAGTTTGTCTTTATTGTTTTATTTAAGAAAAAAATGGTAGGTATTTTAATGATCATATCTCGCGCAAAATGATCTTATTTTTAATGTATTCAGAATTAAGCCAAGGCTTTTGGTTCGATTATTTGCACTAAATATCTATGTGAACTATTTTTGACTGTTCTACACAACATATATCTTGCAGTTTTTAATATAACACAATTTCCTTGAAAAGAATATATAATTAGAATTCGTGGAAATTTTATTTAACATATCATATATTGCATTCACAGTAGGAATTATTTTAAACTAAATAATGACAATGTCAAATTATTGTCATTCTTGGGATTAATCTATTTTTTTTTTATATCTCACCCTTACTGAATTACAAAAAAAAATTGCTTAATCATTAATTTCCTATAATTTATCATTTTTAATGTGATTAACATATTTTAGTATGTTCGAAGTGATATGTCGATTCTATATTTCGAATTCCCTGCTATAATAATATTTTGATGTTATATCTAAATTTAATAAGAAACAAACCGTATTTTCTTTAAAAAATGATATAAAATATACAGTGCAGCTTTTGATTATCAGAAAATTTTAAAAAAAGTAATATAAAGTTTTATTCGATAGATGGCGTTATATCTTTTCTAAATTTGGAATAAGTGCTATAGTGTTGAAGCTTTTCTACCCGCAAACAAAGATAAAGGCAAAAGGGAAATTGCTATACAATAAATAAATTAACTATTAAATCAGAGATTCCGCGCCGGCCCGAGTTTATTTACAAGGTCGGATTTATCTTTTTTATTCAATTTCCTGAAATATCGAAAAACTGAAAAAGGAAATTTCAAAAACTTTTAAATTTTATAGCTATTGCAAGATTAATAGTATAATTTCTCAAATTTCAATAATAATTTTTCTATAAAACCAAATATAAATTTTTTAAAATTTTCTAGCTTTTTTATGTGAATTTTCAATTAACTTTCCAATATATAATTTTGCTGGCAAACTTCATTTTTTTTCTTGTAATTGAAGAGTTTGCTGGTTTTTTTATTAGTCATAAAACGCAATACCTTTTTTACTTTAAAATGTTAAATGTAAAATTGTATAATGTTAAGGAAATAACACAGGTTAATATATTATATAAAAAAGAGTTTATAACTTAAGTTACGGGAAACGATTTCCCATTATGGTTGATATATATTATTTCTAATATTACAACCGCTATGACTTCCTTGAAAATTATTTGCCATGTGGTCCTATTCCAAAAACATTGGCGGTAATTTGAAGTTTTTATATTACTTCAAATATATTGAGGACCTTATTTAAATTTTAACCAATATATATATAAAATCCGCTGCTAACTGAAAATCTTCTTAAAATCTTATCAATTTTTCTTTAAAAATAAATTATTGTTAGGTAGCTGCGCAAAACACAAAATCAATAATCTGCCAACGAGTTAACTAATATATGCAAATTAATCATTAAAAATAAATGAAATAGAGAGAAGAAGAGAAAGAAATATAAAGTTATCTCATTGAATAGTATTCGAGTAAAAAGATGAGATTTTTGTGTCTTTTGTTTTGTTACCGCAGGGCCAACTAAGGAACATGCCGTTAACCATCTTAAATTGTATATTACCAGGATCTTCTAGCATAGATGAAGGGGGGGGGGGGTTCTTTCACTAATTTGGCATTTACACATGATATATTGACTGATAATACCATATTTCTCTTTGGACCTGCAAAAACTTAGTTTGATTCTTCTGCGTTAACAAATATAATTATTTATACCTTATATAGAAACAAAGGTTATGCACGTTGCTCAACCATATGATATGTATGTAGCAAAGGCCATATTTTTACATTGCCATAGATTAGATTAAATTTTCCTTTGCGGCAAGCATAGTGCAGTTCAGCAAGCCAAATACCTTTATAAACTTCTTCAATCGCCAGGACTTATTTAAATCAATCAATTGTGCATATCGAACGTAAATCCTTAAGTATAACTCTATTTTAACTGTTAGTGTCATTTTCAGTAAATAAAAATTTAAAAATAACTGAAAATTTTAGGCGTTTATTTTCCCAACATTCTGGGATTAAATGTAAGGAAAAAATAAATTTTAAAACACTCATAAATCTCTCAATATATTTATTATTTTAATCATCATTTTCATACTTTAACAACTTTTGGAAGTTCAAGAAATAAGTTTATACCTACCAAAAATCATAGAAAACCCTGAAGCCTATTTCTCTAAGACTTGCTACCATTCTTCACTTTTAGCAGTAATAAGTAATCATCATATATCCATTTTTTTTATTTATGGGTAGCTCTTACATAATCTTGCTCCACTCACTTCTATCAAAATACTTTCTTTTATAATTCATATTAATCTTAATATCGCTTTCTATTCAATGTTTCCATTTTAATTGGACTTTCAGGCGCATAACCATGGGGGGGGGGGGGGGGGGGGGTGGAGAACCTCACTCTATGATATTTAAATTTTTTTATAAAAATACAATATAGTCAAAAGGATACAATAAGTGGGCCTAAAGACTTCCAAAACTATTACCTCGCCTAATAGTGATTCCCCTCTATCTTCCTCTCATTTTTTATGATCTACATTCGCACTATTTTTATCTACATGTTTAACTTAATTTAGATTCACGGAGGAATAATTTATAATTGTATTTTAACCCGTTTTTTTAAAAAATTATTTACTTTAAAATGATTTTATTAAATTCTATATTAGAAAAATGAATCTCTTATATATATGTTTTTATATCGAAAACATCGAGAATTTAAACGTGTTACAAAGTGTAAAAGGAATCTCTATCTTTTTCAAATAAAGTTTCAATTAATATGAACCTAAATGCAGGGATCCAAACCGAAACGAATATCGGTTCGGTTCTGGTTCGGATAAAAATAACGGTTTAAGGTTCAGGTTCGGTTCGCAAAAAAATAAAAATATCGGTTCGGTTCGAACCTCTAAAAACCGTTGAACACTTTTGTATTCAAACCTACATTAGGATTATGTATAAGGAAATTTTTTTTTTATTTCATAATTAAAATAAAAACCTTCATTTTTATTAATTGCACATTATAAATAATATTTAATTTATAAATATAACAAATAAATATATCAATGATTAATTTTAATGTGAACAATTACTTAAAAATTTTTTATTAAGCCGCACAATTAATATATTTTCAAAATTCGTCTCACTCAAATTACATCTATAAGGAGATAATATAAATTTAATTGTTAAAAAACATCTTTCCACACTAACTTGGGTAGCTGGCATTGCCAGTATGATATCAGATTTGATGTGTCATTTATAATACTATATGTAAATAATTTATATTATATATTAGATTTAATTTTTTTTAGGCATTATAATTTATAAGCTTAAAATATTAAAAAATGTAAAATGGCAATATACTAAAGTTTATAAAAATTATGACTGACGTTTATCAATCAAATATGATTGATAATAATTTTTAAAACAATTTGAATAAAATTAAAATTTTTGCAATATACTACTACTAATAACTTACACATTATTTTATAAGCATAAAATTATGAGACTCGAACCGGTTCAGAGGCTAGCGGTTCGGTTCAGGTTCGGCTAGAATTTTTTAGAGGTTTAGGTTCGGTTTAGGTTCGATAAAAATATCGGTTTTTAGCGGTTTAACGGTTCGGTTCAGGTTGGTTTTGATCCCTGCCTAAATGTAAGTTATGTTAATAGATGGTATTTACTTGGTAACGCCACTAGGGCGGAGAGATCTCACAGGGACTCGAGCCGCCTAAAAAAATTTAAAAATAAGTTTTTTTTAAAAAAAAGGTCATTTTGGAAATTTTAGTTATGGAACTAACCTAAAATCAAACTAATAAATAAAAAAAAATACTTACGATATGTGTATTAGTGATCTGTATCGGTCCTAATTTTTCAAACCCGGCTCGAAATTTTTTGAAAAAAATTGTCCTGCCTGGCCCTATCTTGAAAAATTTTTATTTGTCCCGAAAAGCCCGACCCGAAATAAAAATGATATGTCCGCCCGGTCCGGCCCAATTTATTTATATGTAGAAAAATTTAGTCTTTCTTTCTTTTTTCCTTCTTTCTATTTTATCAAATAATTTCAAATTCTTACAAGAAACAAAGAGCTAATATTTTTTTTAAAATCAAAAAAAAAATTAAATTTTTCTATATTTAAATAAATTCGGACCGGATCGGGCAGACATATAATTTTTAGCTTTATTTCTTTCTCTTTTCCTTTGATATCATATTTAAAAATCTTGACCTGACCCAACCCGAAATTTTTTAAAAAATATTATGCCCGACTTAGTCCAAACGAAATATTTTTTTAATAGTTCCGGCCCGAGCCCGAGACCGGGCCGTGATTTGTAGATCTCTAATGTGTATATAAGAAAGCAATTTATGAATAAAATTAAACAATTTATAAGAGCCAACTTTATTGATTCACACAATATTTCAAGTATATTAATATATGCGCTTTCCGAAATACGGAACATTAATATAAATTATATTAAGTTAAAAAGATTTTGCAAAATTTTTAAAAAAAAAAATCACAGAGTGGGTTTTTTTACTAAACATGTTGAAATAAATATATTTCCGGTTAAAATCAGATTTTTTAAATTATTTTTTAAAAAACGTGCTTAAAAAAATGATTCAAAGTTGAAAAAAAAACACATGTACTTATAAAAAAAACACATTGGACGCTAACAGTATACTATAAAATACCATCTAAATTTAAACGTATAAAAAAACGGTAGTCAGTCGCTTAGTATAAAATAATTGAGCTTTTAATATAAAATGCTGCTTTCTATTATTAAAAAAAATATTTGTATAAAATAGAAAAAATTTGTATAAAATCTTAATATGTTTAAAAAAAAATGTTTTGAAAAAACGCCATTTTTATAAACTCGAGATCTTCATCTTCGTTTTTGCAAATTATATTATCTTTTTAAAAAAACAAATTAGGATTTTCTAATGAGATCAGCTGTTTTTTGCCTGAGAGTCTTCTTGGAATACTAAAACATATATTTTAAAAAAATAAGTATAATATGTCGTATAGGGACATGGAATCCATCCTAATTCAAAAAAAAATCATTTAATTAGGGGAATTCAAATATTTTTTTGACCGGAAATAAAAATCGATCAATTTGAATCTTGGAACACTTTTAGCCATGAACATTATAAGAAAATTTAAATACGAATTAAGAATAGTTCAAAAAGTTGATGGCCGCAAATATTGTTTGAGATTCAAAATGTGTGTTTACTCTATACATACTTAATAATATTTCCGATCAAATAAAATTTTTCAAATCTAAAAAATCGGTTTTATTAAATGATTTAAAATCGAGATATTCCAATACCATATAAATAAAACCATTTTTAATATTTTATAAATTCTCTTAGAAGTGATAATATTCCATATAATTTTTTTTAAAAAAACCTCGTGATTGGGATATGCACTGCCGATCGAAACAAAATAAGATAGTTCTAGATTCATTGGTTAGGCAAACCACGTTTTTCCGAGGCTTGACAGCGGAGTCATTCATCACCCTGCATTCGTGCCCTTTTTGGTGTAAGAGAGATATATATATTAAATTAGAACATACCTAAATATTTTTTTTCCTAAATTTTGTTTTGTAGTCACATGTATAAAAGAAAATTTGGAAGGAGTAAGAGGGTCATGGCTTGGATTCTCTAAAAGCCTGCTTGGGCTTCAAAACTTTTATATAATACCTATAGGCGATGGGAAGGAAGGGAGGGCTAAAAGATATTTTTGTTTGAAGGAAGACATGTAACGGGGGGGGGGGGGGGTGAGCTGGGCAGCCACCCCGGGCCGCTGAAATTAGACAATTGGGGCCGTCAATTAATTTTATTCCATTATTTAGCTTTTTGAAAAATAAATTTTTTTTATATATAATACTACATATGTGAAAAGCATAATTCTACTTATTTTTTAGTTAAGAAATTTGATTTTTTTTATCGAAATGTAATATAATATTATTCGACCACATTCATCAAATTAAGAATAGTGAAATTCATAATCATTACCTTGAAAATCAAATATTAACTTGATAGGAGATAAAATAGTAATTTTCTGTAATGTTAGAGTATAAACCCATAGTCAGCTGGAACAATTAACCGTAGTAATATGTATAACTTAACAAAAGCTCGTTTGAAAATAAATGAGCTATTTGTTGGCCTTCTAAAAATCAATTCCTTTACTGGCCAGGTCTTGATAGAATCATTTTTACCATTATTTAAAAAATCGTGATTAGAGTTAAAAAATTGTAGTGGATAAAGTGATTATCGATAATGGATCAAATATGAGAGGATATTATTAATGGATTCAGGCTTAAATATTACAAATAAATAAGGGAGCGATTTTATGCCTTGTGGTTGCCACCGCTTAAATCTGCTATTTGGTGAAATAGTACGATCATCATCATTTGCAAAATCTTTCATTGTCCAAGAGTATATATTCTTTATTCTTTTCTGTTCGACTCTAGGCAAATTTTGAAGGATCATAAAAATAATTTTACCTTAAACCCGTTTCCTGAAACACGTTGGTAGTGTAAGGTGGAGAGTGGAAATACCATTATAAATCAGGTTGGTAATATTTACGATACAATGCACTAATAGACATATCTGAAAAAACTAATGACCCCAAATCTGCACAGAAGCTATTTCACTGGCTAAAGAATTAAAACAATTTCAATTTTTGGTAACACTTGTCATGTGTTTTGATATATTAACCCAGGTGAATTTGCTAAGTAAAGATATTGAATTGAAAACTATTGCACTTATGCAAAATCTTTTAGATCGTTTTAAGGAAATGGCTTTCAGAATTCCCTTAACTCAGCGATCGGAAATGAGTTTAGAAGAGCAGTGCTTTCCTTCAATAACATTAATTCGTAGACGGAAAGTACAAAAACAATTTTCTTACGAAGGAGATGATACGCTAATACATGAACCTCAAAAATAATATAAGATTTAATTTTTCAATGCATACTAGATCAAGCGAAAAATTTGTCGAAGGAACGTTCCCAGCTGTTAAAGCTCTTTATATATCACTTTGGATTCTTATTCAATACACCAGAATTGATAAATACGACTGAAAAAGAGCTAAAGGAAAAATGTTTTCAAAATATTATTGACAGAATAGGATACGTTAGAAACCGATATTAATCCGCAAGATCTATTAATTGAATTAAAAATTTTAGTGGTTAAGCAATCCCATAAAAACTCCACTGGAATATTTACGCTATATTTACAATAATAAGTTAAAGGAAACCTTACCAAATATATCCGTTGTATTAAGGGTTACTTTGACCATTTCAACTCATGTGGCATCCGCAGTTTCTCGGTCAAATTAATCTATGATCCTGTATGGCACAGGATCGATTTGTCAATTTCTCCTTAATTCCAATAGAAAATGATATTGCCTATCTTTAGATTATACTGACATAATATTCTCTTTGCTTATAAAAGGCGAGGAGTATATATAAAATTGCAATATTTTAGTTTTTGATTATAGTCATTTTTATAATACCTTACTCATTTATGATTAAAATTTAATAAAGTATATATTATACTTTTAGTTCTCATTTCGAAAAATTATCAAAGGAACTTAGGCAAATTGGTTTTATTTAAGGGGACGCCAAATTATTTTTTGTCCTGGGCCGCCAAATGTCTCGGCACGGCGCTGCCTGGAGACCGAATATTGTTAAGACCTATGATCACATATATTTGAAATAAGTACTTTATTATAAAAAGAATTACCATATTTTTCAATAAGGAATCTTTGCTTTGGCGCAAAATAGTAGTATTTGTTGGAATCAATTTGTAAGCATTTCTTAAGTATACATACATATATATAATAAAAAATAATAATTAATTTTAAACTTATACAATGCATAGCTAAATCTAAAAAAAATATATTAATAAATCTACATTATTTTTAAAAAGATTATAAAAAATTAGCCTTTCTTAATGTTACAACTTATAAATATTACAAAGAATCAACGTTAATTTGCATTCATTATAAAAAAAAATAGTCCCTTAGAAAACTTATAGATTACGATCATCTTGAACTGCACGGTTTATATATATATAAATTATGATATAAAACTTACACTAAATAAGTCGCATGCGTTGTCGTTCATCCTAAATTTATAAGCAATTTTTTTGTGAAAAATATATTTTTTAAAATTTAAAAAAATATTTTAAAAGTTCAGGCGCGTACACAGTGAGGGGAGTGGCAGGAGAACAAATCCCCCCCCCTCCCTCTAAATCCAAAATTATAAAAAATTCAAAGTATTACTGATTACCAAATCTTATTGTATATATATTCTAATTTATACATATTTATCATTAAATTATAAATAATAGTATCTATTTCAAATTCTCCTTAGCGTTTTATTTATAAACCATTTAATTCTAAATAATATACATGCTTACCTAAATTTAAATAATTCAATATTAATAGTATCTAAAATAATGTCAAAAATCATAATCTAATGATTTGAATAAATTTTATAGTCTCATATGAAATAAATCTACAAATATAACCAAAGTTAAGATGATATAAATTCATGGACTTCTATCCTTTAGATACCAGGGCTTGCATGCATAATATCTATAGATCCTCCTCCATTGAGAGTAATAAAATTCGTAAGCATATCTCCATCTACAATTGCTAATGATGGACCATCAACACAACAAACCCCCAACACACAGTTATGGGCTCATGAATATTTATTCCTATCCAACATTCCAACAATCTCTCCTATTCCTCAGTGAGCACATTCCTTTGCAAAATCCTTCAACAAATCTTTTTAATTGTAAACAATCCAAAATCTTTCAACTGAAAAACCCTACTATAGTTCTTGGCATCTGTATGACGACACTATTGCTAGCGGCCATTCCACAATCATTCAAATATTACAGGTCTTGATGCAACAGGGATAAGATTACACATCTCGGAGCCCATTTCTAAATAAATCCCTCAACAATTTGAATTAAATCCATTATTTAGTTACTTACCTACCCATCATTTTTTTTTACTAAAAACCACTTTAATATACCCTAAATCCTTTACGCCATGATATTTGCATCAATCTATAAATGAAGCGATTTTCTCTCATGAACTCAAATCAAGGGACTCCTCAAAAATACATTAAATATAAAATTTTTATATTCATCCTAGCTTCAGGCCACACTCCCTATCTCAGGTGGTATCGGTAACCGATATCAACTACAACTCTCTCTTTCAGTTTTTATTTCATTCCACCTTTCTGCTCAAAATATCATCAACAGTTTCTCCACTTTTATAAATCCTGATCTATCACTGGCCCTTACCATTTGGGAAAACCCAGTCACCCTCCTGAAGTCCATAGCAGTCAAAAGATGGTGATAATATTTTGATTGCCACTAAAAACATAACATTAAATATAAATTCAGGCTATAAATGAGTAAAAGCATCCCCAGTTCCAATCTCGGCATCTTCATGACTAGTGAACAGCTGTGCATATCCATAGCTATTCGTCTTGGTTGCAGTGCAGTGTTCCCTCCATTTGCGTCTATTGTTGTCAGTTATTCGAATCGAGTGACTACAATTCCTTGCACTGCAAGTTCTCCCCCGGATGTCAACTCTGCCATTATTCCATTAACAATATTCTCCTAGCTTCTCTCAAAGTAGTAAATATCCCATCCACTCTTGAAGCAGTGAGCCTTTCAAAAAATAACGCAAAAGGCCAGATGCATATCCCTTATTTGCTTTCAAACGGTTTTCCACTGATTTGTAACACACATGCATTGATTTTTCAGCGAAGTCTAGCCTCTCATTTGCTGCCATGAAAAAGGCGGAAGTGGTTAAAAAATTAATACACTGGCCTCAAGAACAGTTTTAATACCAATAGTCTCTAACACCCTGATGTTAAAAGGAGGTCTCTCAATTTTATCAAAGCAATCGGCAAAAACAGTGGCTCATTACAGGTGACCATTCTACCTTCGTAGGAAAATCAGCAGTCTAATCTATAAGCATTCACTCCTCTCTAAGGGAGGGTGATATGTCCTCTTTTAATAAATATGTTTTTCATATGTGTTCCTTTTTTCATATTTTTAATATAAGTTATTTTTTTCATGTAATTTTCAATATAAATTTTTTAAATATATTTTTATTTATTTATAAGGTTTTAATATTTATGAGATTATGTGACTGAAAATAAATAAATAATAAGGAAAAAGGTCATTTTGAAAATGTTGACCAAAAAAAAAAGATAATTTTAAAAAAATAATTTTTGAGTCCCTAAGGTAATAAAGGCTAGTGACACTACTGAAAGGGATTCCACATCAATATTTCAACCCACTTATTTATTGTTGTTAAAGGCTCGATTTGACCTTATTTTAAAAATGACTAACACTATTTTATCCAGAAAAATATTCAATAAGTACAAGCCTGAAGATTTTGCTCATACATAGATGGCACAAATTTTTAGAATCTACTAGCAAAATCTCGCATAGGCAATATTTTTTTGGCTTAAATATTGAGTTAGCCTTTTTTTAAAATCTGCACAACACTATATTCATTCATATTTTAGAAAAAATTTATATTATTAATTATTTCTTTTACTTCATATCGGTAGAATTATAGATACCGCTATTGATGCATAATGAGAGACATAGCTGCTTTCGCTTTTTAGGATCTTGCAATCGGTTCATTAAATGCTGATTTAACATTAAATCTTCATCCAGCAATAAAATACCATCGTCACTAGATTTCTCTTCATTTGTGTCAAGTAGTTGATAAGAAAATTGCACACGGGGTCTTTTATACGTATTACCGCATTTACCATTAGAACACATCTATTTTGATTTTCAGTTATTTGATAAAAGAGTAGAAGAGAGGGGGGGATGCTTTATCCGTGGCAGGTAATTGCTCATAAAAAATTTTAAATTTTAATTTTAACAAGTCAAATGTAACTTATTAATAAAATATTGAAAAATACGTGTCGCAAAAGGGTAAAAGATATCCTAGTTGTATTTTTTTACATATTTCTAATATTTTTAAAATATTATTTTTCTTAAATATTAATTTCTACCTTAGTGATATATGAAAAAAATAAAACTACGTATTGATATCTTGGAAAATTTGCTTCTTATATTTTTTTATAGTACTTCATTTTTTTTATGGTCAATACAACTTCGGTCTCTCCCCTAATGTATTTTATTAAAGGGTGGTTAATTTTCCACTTTTTTAGAATATTTAAATTCATTCCGCGTGATAAGGTGGAAAAAAATAAAAAACGCTAGTGAAAGGGGGGGGGGATATGGCAAAACCCCTCATTTTCTAAATATTAAGCTTTCTTCATCTCTAAACATTTAATTACAGTTCATTTACATTCAAGTAAATTATATAATAACTAATTCATACCTTATTGACACCGCAAATAGTGCCATTCGGAGCTCCTGCTTGATCACCCAAAGGAAATCCATTAATATTAGGATTATAACATAGCAAGGCAGTACACAGATTAGCATGTAGAGATGGCTAATAATATAAAATGGTGAATAATTAAAACCTTAAAGTATTTTAATAAAATTTTCAATATTTTTTTGATCAGTAAAAAAAAAAAGAAGAAATTGAGTGCTAAAAAATATAATTTGATCAGTTAAAAATAAAGAAATTGAGTAGTAAATAAAAAATGTATAGATATCCCTTTCAAATTGATATTTTTGGCCTGAAAGATATATTTATCTGAAAATTTTGCCGTGTCTTAAAATACTGATACGTTATTATTTTTACTGATAAAATTTATAAAAATAAATGACAATTCTGTTATTATAGGAATAAAAAAAAAATTAAACTTGGCAATTTCTAATAAAATACTGGAGAAATAAATAAGCAATTATAAATTTTAGTATAATAAAAAAATTAAATTAGCTATTTATATTTTTAAAATAATCCTTAATTAATAACAGGTTGCAGTGAGTGATTTATAATTTTTTAAAAATCCTTAATTATTATCAAGTTGCAGTGAGCAGTTTATAAATTTTTTAAAAATCTGATTTAAATCGGTAAATTTTTTAGCGAGACAATTTTGTATATTCATTAATTTATACGAATAAAAAAATCTATAAACCATTCGTATAAATTGGGAGTTTTCCCTAAGTTTATGTGTACCCTGTACATGCTGGAATACATTGTCAAAAACAAATTTAAAAATTTAAAAATCGAGCTCTTGAATTATTAAAAATCCAAATATTTCCAATCCCCGAAGGGTTCCATATCATAATTACGAAATATGATTTTACCAGAAATGTATGCCAACATGTCTAGACTTTGCTTACGCCATATTCAAACAATTCGCCATAAAATTTTTGTTTATTTTTTTTCCAATTTTATAAGAAAAATCTAATCTAAAAATATTAAAACAATTTTAGGCATGAATTATCTGTAATTTAGAATACGGATAATCTGTACAAGTTGGAATGCATTTCTCGTCAAATAAGATTTTTTTCAGATTTAAATATCGCTCTCAGTAAATGATATACAATACATTATAATAATTAAAATGTATTATATTATCATATTTTTTAAATGAAGAAGAAGAATAATAATAAATCCAAACCCCTCCATAGTGCCTATAATTTTTGCCGAAACGTATTTCACAGGCAGCATCCGGCGTTAAATTATAAAAGTTGTCTTCCGGGATTTTGCGACTATAGTCAAAATTGTATTCGTACTTCTTAGTCCTGGAGTTTCTGTATTTCGGGGCTGGGTCGATGTCATTTGATATATCGTGTTCGGGTTGAAGGCATCTATAATTATGGCTAATATTTTAATGGAAAAAAAAGTGAATAAGGATGAATACCTTCTCAGTTTTTTTCCCTTAATATAAATTTAAAGTATATTTTATGGTAAAATTTCTCCAACAAATCAATAAATAAAAGGATTTACTACCCTGGCGGCTCCTTCAGATTTTTTCTTTGTTAATGTGCATAAGAAAAATCTAAAAAAATTTTAAAACCAGATTTGCTCTCCAAAACATAAAATAAAATCTTCGAAAATTTTTTGATCTCTGACATTTTTTTTTGAATGAAGTTTTAGGATTTGTGATCAATTTATATACCAAATTCTAAAACTTTTCTTTGGGAAATTGTTCATGCTAGCATATTCATTCAGATATATTCTAGATGTTTGTCTCAAATAATAGGAAAGAATTTATTTTAAAACCCATCAGAAATTTTATATTTCTGATTATTTTTCTTTCATTAAATTTTCTCTAATCTCTATGAAAAAAATTAGCAAGAATTAGACAGTCGAATATAATAGAATTTAGCTAGGTTATTCTCTCATTTCAAATACGGATAACAGTTAAAAAAAAATTTTAACTTCTTGACGAATAAGCGAGTTTGACTGGCTAAACGTCTTCATTAAAACTTTTCTTATTTATTTTTCCATTTTTTAAATTGTGATATTCAAGAGGGTATAGAAGAATGGCAAATAAGTTTAGTTTTTTTATATATAGCCAAAGGCTTGTGGTGGTGTCAATATTTTGTTTAAGAAATCTAACCTATAGAACTCCAGCATGTAAATTTAATAAAAAAAAACTAATTATTTTTAATTAGAGAATATCTTTGAAAATATTATAATTAATACAAACTAACTGTAGATTAGTAATAAATAATCATGTGAAATTTGATGGTTTTAACTTATATAATAAAAATTTAAAAGGTCATTTTTAGGACAGAATTAGGTTATTAAAATAACTCAGTTATTTGCGAAAAAATTAATGTAACTGGTTATAATTGAGAATGTAGGGAAGACTGGGGTTATGTAAACCCCGTGGCTTGGCAAATAGTGAAGGTCACGGTCCTGTCTTTGGTCCAGACTGGACCGATATCCTCGGACCGGACCGGACCACGGTCCTTAAGAAATAGATGGATCCAGACCGTGTCCTAAATAAAAAACATATTTTTATTAACCCAATTTAATTTGTTTTATCATTTTATTAAATATAAGAGTATTATATAAACAATAAAATTTATCCAATGGTATTGAAGAAAGTGATTTTGTGCTTGTGGAGGGCATATTAAAATTAAGAGTAGATTGTGTTTTTGAGATATTTTCATTTTCATCATTAGAAGTATATATTTTATGTTTTATCAGATGTCTGCTTAAGGTACCTAATTATTTTATTAAGAATAAGGTTAAGTTATTTTGACAATGAATTATTCAGACAGTTTCTTAAGAAAAAATAGAACTATATAAGTAATAACCAAAATATTTTAATAATAATACTGCTTATTTTGATTAATTTATTGCTTAAAAAATTATAAACAATTATTTTGTTACTTGTTGCTGACGATACATTAAATTTGGTACTGCAGTGAACACTTACTCTATGTTTTTTATTGTAACTATTGGACAATATGGTTTTCATATTGTAAAATAAAAATGACCAAAATTTAAAATAACTCATCTAGAAAAATATCATAAAATAAAATATACAAAAAAATTATATTAATTGAATAGTAAGTAAGGCCAACTTAAATAATAATAAAAGACCGGTCCGACAATCGGTGCGGTCCGGTCCCGGTCTAAGACCGATAGGACCGGACCATTGACCTTCACTATTGGCAAACCACTTAATCTCATTTTAAAAATAAATACACCAGAAGGTTAAAATTTTATCCTAATATAGTTTTCATTAGTATACATCTATGGACAAAATATATTTTAAAATAATTAATTACTAAAAATTTTATTTAAGAAATAAAATTTTGATGAAATTTTCAAAAGATTTTTACACGACAGAATTTTAATTTTTATTAAAATATATGATCATTTATACGTAAATTAAATTTTATTACAAAGTTTAAACATTCTTCTATAATTTGGGTAAGTTTTATGAGTATTTATCAAATCTAGATATTATTTCAATCATGATTTGTCATTTAGAGCTAGCGGGGTTTGCTATACCATACACGTCAATCATAGCAATTAATAATGAAAAAAATTTTAAAATCTTGAAAAGGCAATTTCATGGCTGTTAATGATTGGTATTTAGGATTTATGCTAAGAAATCTTAATATCTCCTTAAAATTCATATTTTTTTATGTCCAAAATGTTTATTAAATTAGCCAAAGTTAAGTTTCAATTTTTATATATAATTAGCTTCAATTTATAAGTATTATGATATTTTGAACAATAAAACAATAGAACAATAAAATTATTTAAAAATATATTCAATAATTCTATATTTTTTAATTAATTCGGGCCGGGCCGAACGCACAAATATTTTTTATATTATAAGCTGGATTTTCGGGACTATATTGGCTAAGGAACGGGCCGAACCGGAGCGGATTTTAAAATAATGGGTATATCATTAAAAAATAAGTATGTGATGATTGTTGATAATCTTATTGTGGAAAAAAATTTTAATTTGTATAACTCATATTTTAAATTGGCTTCAGACAGAAATGAGCTGGTTATAGTATATTTTGTATTTAAAAATGAAATAAAAAACCAAACCTATTAGTTTCAAATAGGAAAATTCATCTTATTAAAAAATAATAATATGATTTATATAATACATTTTGCTCCTTAGCTCATTTTTGGTACAACTTGACCACGTTGTTTGAGCTCTATACATTGGCGCCATTATGTGAGAATATCCGCAACGATAGGGCTCATCGTGATTCAGTCCAAAACTAAAATATGTTTATGTAAAAGTAGTGTAAAAAATAATGGTAAAAGGCACTTCTACACATTACTAAGTCAATGACGATATTACTCACATGCTCAACACCTGCCAAAATTAATATTAGCAACAAAAATGTGGAACTCCAAATTAGAATCAGCAAAAAAATATAATTGAAATCCTACTATTTTTCTTTGATTCATTTGCCCACTACTACCCTCGCAATTAATTATGAATTACGATACCATCTCACAAACTCCTTACGCTCCTCAATCTCAATGAAAATATAGCGTCGAACCCCCTCCCCTTCTCTCCTCCTCCGTGTCTGATAATCATAATAGTTAGGATCAAATATTTTCATATAAGGAAACACAGAAAGTTTAGTGCCTAAAGTCGTCTTTTAATTTAAGATAGATTAATATACATTTTTCTGTAATATAATTATAGGGGTAATTATGTCAAATTTATTAAATAGGGTAGGGTTAAAGATAAATTATAATATAGAGATTAAAGAGGACTCTAGTATAATCTACAACATAATTTAAAAACGGGGAAAATGTAATTTAAATTTTATATACACTAAAGATCTGTAAAAGTAAGCCCGACCCGTACCCGATCCGGGCCTATCTTTTTCAAAAAATTGGGTTCGGGCTGAGTTGGTCCTAATATTTTTTTAAATAATTCGGACCGGGTCGGGGTCGAGTTTTGAAATTTAAAATATATCTAAATTTAATAATTTTATAATATTAAAACAAAAAAGACGCCAATAAATAAAGATATTTAATTTTATTCGTAGAAACTAGACGCCATATGACACATATCTTTTTAATAGGCAGTTAAAAGTTTTTTTTAAATATATCGAAATATCGACATTTGGTCTAAATATATTAAAGTTACATTGTTAATGAATTTATGGCATGATATACCATATAAAGATTATTACTTTGAAGAATAATTTACTTATGTCCAATTTCATGAGCTATAGTGTTAACGAACGTATGCATAGTCCCTGAAATAATGGCCACCGATCTTTCTGAACACAAAGTACCCATGGAAGCATATCCTTAGAATACATGATTATTTTTTTTCAAATAAATTATTATAAATCTTGTGTTTCAATTTCTAAATATTAAAAATGGGTTCAAATTGATAAAATCTATAAATTTCTATTATTGCCTAAAACTTTTATTTTTATTGGTTAAAAAAATCTTCAATATTGTGTCCTTGACTTATTGCTAAATAGCCAAAAAAGAAAGAAATTTACGAAAAATACCAATTCACTAAATATTGAAAACAAAGCAGAATAGGATGTCCTAGTTCAAAAGCATTTTAGAACTAAGAAGCAATTAAGTATTAAAATTGGAATCGAGGAGAAGGCCTAATAGATTAGAAGGGATATTTTTTTGCAAAATATAATATAATTTAATTTTTTTTATCCCTTATATTTTACCTTTCAAAAAACTTCTTTTTCGTTGTTGATCATGCCCAAAAAACCTTGAGCTTATATTAAATTTAAAAAAATAAATGTTAAAAAAATATATATTATATAAACATGGTAAATTTATATGTCATATTTGGATATAGATTCCTTGGGAATTGCAAATTACTCGTTTTTAATAATTTATTTAAGGCAATTTAATTTTAAATTCCAATTTTAGAAAATAGCAGGTGAAGAGCACCTATCCCATAAATGACAATTTCCGCCATAAACATTTAATATTTGTTAATGTAATTCAGCATGTAATATAGTACTACTCTATACCTGTGAATTTCAAACAATTGCCTAGAAATTTTATATCTGTTTTTTAAAATAGATTTTTCATATAAATTTTTAAAAAAATATGCAAATGTTTATGGCGAGAATTGTCTGAAATTTATAAAGTAGGTAGTCTAGACATGCTGCAATTCCGGTGAAATGATATTTATAAAATTTAAAAATTTCCTAATTGAGAAATTCCAGATCCCCATGGATTTCATATCATCCCTACACATAGGTATATAATATATTATTAGACATCAGTATATTTTTTTCGGTTAATGTGTTATTTTTCCAACTAAGTAAATCTTTTTCTTATTTTTTAAATTTTAAAAATACGATTTTGCTCGAAATGTATTCAAGCATGTGTTAAAAAATCTCATATGTGATTCTTAGAAAATTTTCTAATGAACTTCTAAACTTAATGAAATTAATATTAGTTTTTTTTCTATAGATTTTTTTAAATAATAGAAATTATAGATGACTCAAAAGTTGACGGCAAAAACGAGGGGTGGTGGGGTATTTTAAACATACTGAAATGCTTTCCGGTAAAATCAAATTTTTTTTAAATTAAAACGTGCTCAAAAATAATGATTTAAAAATAATCAGTGGAGGAGAAAACACATTGGCGATAACACATATATAATGATGTACATATACTACTAGATTGACGATTCATTTATTAAATTCATTTTAAAATGTCCATATATAGGAGTCAGCTGTAGCGTCATTTTGTGGTTTGTATGCCGATTAAATGACATTAATATGCATTCATATAATGATGAACAAAATTAATCGAAGTACAAACCACAAAATGGCGCAACAGCTGGCTCTTATGTATGGACATATTTAATTAATAAATCACCAATCTAGTAGGATATATAAATCATTGATTGCGATATGGAATGGAATCTATGAGGAGATTAGAAATCTCTCAATTTTGAAGTATTTACTGAAGGCATTTCTTAAATTCAAGAATCTGATTTGATAGGAAAGGCATTCCAGCACAGGTAGAGAGTATCTATCATGAATTTCAGAACAATTTGACGCCATAAAATTTTGTGTATTTTTTTTTAAATTTATATGAAAATTCATATAAAAATTTAAAATATTAAATTAAGAGTAGCTTAAAAGGTTCAACGGCAAAATTGTTTGAAATGCACTTGGTATTGTTGTTAAACAGTTAGATTATTAAAAACGACTAACCCAATATTTTAGCCATAAATTTAATGCAAAGCCTCTAGATTTCGTTAGTAGATGCCCAAACCTTATTGCCATCTACGAGCAAAATCTATAGGCTTGCGTGATATTTTTTAGCTAAAATATTTGGTTAGCCATTTTTAAATATCGCGCTGTTTAACAATACTAGCTGATTTAAAATTAGATTGCAAATCTTATATTGCTAATAGTACTCAGCAGATAAAAAATTTTATAAATACCATTTAAAAATTAAAAATATATTTCCCGTCAAATCAGATAGTTTTAAAATTTCAAAAAAAAGGATGAGATTCTGAATTTTCATTGAATTCACTCCATATATCAATAACGATATAATATCATTAATATTATACATATTTCATTCTATAACTATAAATATCAAATTCTTAAACTTTAATAAAAATAAAGAGGTATCCCATCTTTTGCCATGACTTCTTCTTTTGTTTGCTTGGGCCATGGTCATGAACCTTGCTAAAAGATTATCAGCTTGATAGTTAGAATAAATCTTATAAAAAAATTTTTTTTACATTAATTATTATTTAACTCATATTTTTTAATAATGGTCTTGATAGTTCTTATCATTTAGGAGTGGGAATATTTATGTTATTAGAATTGACTAATGGCACACGCAACTCTTTGGATAAATAATCCTTTAAAAAAATAATTAAATTTCCAATTGAAAAATGAAAAAATGGTAAAAGTAAAGTATAAAAAGCTAATGAAAAGGTCTTGTTGAAAAAGGATCCACTAGAGGAGGAAAATTGATAATGATTAGATCTATCGAAAATGGAATAGCTTCAACCATATAAGGTTCCAACCAGACCCATTCAGAATTTTTTTAAATTTTGTATATAACTAAGAAAAAAATGAAATTTTACTTCCTTACACAACTTACTCACTAAGATATTGGGGGGAGGGGGGGGGGCTAAAGAGCGGGAAAATGGAACACTTTGGACAAAATGTAGTTCGTTAATTTACCAAATATCCCAAGAATAAAGTTATAATTTTAATTTTATTTATATTTTAATTTTAATAATGAATCTTTAATATGACAATGAAATAAATGTGATAAAACTCCGATTAATATCCAAAACCGGAAGTACAAATCCGAAAATGACCATAGAAAAAAATGTATTTTTATTCAAAATTTTTTTCTTTAGATGTATATCAGACTGCTTTATATTTGTACAAATCCTAGAATGGGATAAACATGGGTCTAGGAGTTGTGACCATATATATGGCTAAAATTGGCCAAATTTAACATAATAGCATCATATCTGAATGAATACTTACATATCATTTTTATTTAAAAATTATATCTAAATGAAAAGCCCTTACTTCATTATTTTAATAATATATAATTGAGAGGTGAGGGGGGGGGGGGAGTAATATGGTTTATTTAACACTTTGGTTAATTTTCTCTCGAAATTAGATAGCAAAATGTTCTAATTATATTTATAACTTTATTTGACTAAATAATTTCTATAATTACATGTAATAAAATCAAAAATTTATAATAATAACAAAATTTTTTAAATATATAATATATTAAATCACCCGAAGAATTTGAATAATCTTTTCATTTTCTTCTAGGGGAATAAGAGTATATAGGTTTGTGTTCAAATTATTTTGCTGTCAAAATCTGTTTTCGTTGATTTTTCATACTTAGATATTCACTGCTCACAAATGTATCCTCTGATATTATTTCTTGCATAGTTATATAAATCCATTGTTGTCAATATATGATCATATATATGCACGTTGCAAGCTTGTTCAAGTTGCTAACCGTTTAGCAAAGCTCCCGAAATTGTCGCAGGGACTTTGACCAGGTCTCTACCTTTATACCAAAATTATTTTCAGGATTGTAGAGGTTAATGAAGTTTTTTTTAATACTATATTGTATACCTGCCTCATCAGAAAAATAGTGAATTTTGGCTACTCTGCCAAATATTTCCTTAAAAATAAGACCAATTAAAGAAATAAAACGCACATGCGTTGTGCTTTAAATAATCTGGTGACAACAAAATTTGCTTGATTAAGCCGTCTTAAATGGCCTGATTATAGGTCCAATAGATTCCTTGTACATGGTCCTGCACTAAAAATGCATTATTTTTTTAAGCGTTAGTAATAACTAAGCCAACATATAATTTGGATTTTAATATAGAATAAGGGTCGTTGTAAAGTTATAAGAATGAGAAATCAAATTATTTATTTTTTTTAAAATAATCTATAAAATAGTTGGCGGACTTTGTCAGCACTTCAAGAAATGGTATATAATCAATTGGATTCGCATCAAATAATAAATTACGTTTTTCTTTTATTTTAGGTTTATGCTAAAATAAAATATTAAAATTATTTGGGAAAATTAACCAAAGTATTAGATAAACCCATTGCCCCCTTCCCCCACCTCTTAAATATATTTATTTAAAATAATAATGTAAGGGCCTTTCATTTAGACATAATTTAATGTAAGGGCCTTTTTTAGACATAATTTTTAAATAAAATTATTACGTAAGTATTCATTAAATTTAAATATGATGATATTTATATTAAATTTGATCAATTTTAGCTATATAAATGGTCATATCTAGAATCCCCATCTAGGATTTTGCACAAATATATAAAGCAGGCTGATATACATCTACAGAAAAAAAATTTTGAACAAATAACATACTTTTATTTTTATGGCCATTTCCGGTTTTGTACTTCCGGTTTTGGGTATTAATCGAATTCCTAACACATTTGTTTATATTTCTAACTATTGCTTCAACTATATTTATCTTGAGATATTTGAAAATTAATGAAGTGCATTTTGTCAAAAATGTACTATTTTTCCGCTCTTTAAACCCCCATATCTTAGCGAGTAAGCGGTGCGAGGAAGTAAAATTTCATTTTTTTCTTAGTTATAGATACTATCAATATACAAAATTTTAAAAAATTTCTGAAGGAGTCGGGTTGAAAATCGACTTTTTTTTAATGATTTGATATGGAATTCACCATGTATATATATTGCTAGATTGACGATTCATTAATTATAAGTATACATAAGGGAAATGTGCTATAAATGGCCATGTGAAGACTAGCCACCACCATTTAACTTTTTATCTATTGGACCAATTTCTCTAAAAATTGGTTAATCTTACCTAAGTCATTTATTGAATAGACTAATCCAATAAAAAAAATATTTTAAATAAACTATTTTTATTGTTTGGTAAAAAATTACTAAATTAGATTACTGATATTTTATATAAATATTGTCCGTAGGCGTTTAGCTATTCAATTCACAAAAAAAATTAGAGTTACAAGTTTTATTTAATGGATATATTAAGACCAGATGAGTAATGTCTGGCAATGTATTGACTGGCTACAATTCCTACATTCACACATTCATATTGAAATGCGCACAAAACAACAATTGGTAAAATTTCAAATGATGAACAAACTTAAGAATGTTTAACAAAAAGATAATTAAGATATTAATTTATAAAATTTCATTAAATAGTTGATGATAAATTGAGATGTTAATATACCTAAAAAAATGAAGAAATATTAACCTAGGTCTTTTACAAGTATTTCATATTTATAATAAAATTATTATATAATATGTTATATATTTTGACTGGCAAGAAAAATAACTTTCACATTATTTCATCCAGCTCATAAACTATTATATAGATTTAGCTTTGATTTTTGTTACGTTATAATCTAATTCTTTTTGTTTTTTGCATTTGAATTTTTTGTAATCTAATTTTTATTATTTTTTGTAATTTAATTTAATAACTTTATTGCGTAACCTTATTTTTATAACTTTCGGCGTAACCTTACTTTTTATATTTTATAATATTTTTACTTTTTTGTTTTTCGTTTGTATTCTAATTTGGATTTATAAAAATGTATATATACCTTAAGAAAAGAAAAAGAAATTAGTTAATAAAATATATTTTTACTGACTCGAACCTCACGCCTTATCGTTAGTTTCCTTATTCTTTTCAATTTTATTTTAAAGACTAGAATTGGGCTACACATTTAAATAAAATTTGTTGGGTTAAACTCAAATCTTAATGAGCTTTTTTTGAAAAAAGCAAAGTCATGGTCGTTTATGTGGCACATTTCCCCTACATAGGAGTCAGTTGTAGCGCCATTTTGTGATTTTCACATCGACCAATTATCTTATTAAAATGGCGCTAGAGCTGACTCCTATGTATGTACACTTTTAAATGTATTTAATGCATGAATCGACAATCTAGTAGTGTACAAGATCATTGATTTATGTAGGGAAAATTCCATTTAAAAAGGAATATTGTTTATTTATCTTAATTTTTAGAATATTTTTCTATTATATTCTTATATAAAATTTTTCCTTATTTAATTTTTTGACAATAATTTAATTTTATTTTTTTAAATTAAGTGTTTTCGCTTTTTTTTCGATGCTCTAATTATTTATTTTTCTTTTCCATTTTTATCAATTTTTACTTTTTTTGTAAAAAAAATAATGGAACCATCTTTTGATGATGGTGGGTTTTTAAATTAAAGCATGTTAGAGGGATCTTAAATACGATGTCTTAAAGAGTCATGCATAATATATAAAATAATTATAAATCATGTATGCTAATTTCTTACTCCTATAACTTCATATCGTGCTACTCTGATATCGATTTTAATGCCAATCTTTTCCAGAGTGTAATAACTGTTGACCTTAAAATAAATAATATCATATTATATATTATTTTGATTTATATTAGCTGATTTCATATCCAGACCGGAAAATAATTTTAAGGATGGGATCTAATTGGGTTTAAGTGATCCTTCCTTTCCGACCCAGAAAAATGGTGTGCATTTTCTGCTTCCTAGCACCTTTTTTTAAATAAGGATATGGATTTTTAAGTCATTATTTTACAAAAATTATTAACTTTTACTTATTTTATTTTTTTTGAAAATATTATTTATAATTTATACTCATGAGGGGAAGGGGGGGGGGGGCAGGGGATTTATTAGTTTAAATGAATATTAACAAAAACTGGAAAAATTTTCTAAGAAAAGTCGGATTTATCACTTATGTCTTTTGGTTACGCCACTGTTACGGTTAATAGAAAAATAAAGGATGATTTACTTGATTGATTAATCGGTCGACATCTGATCGACTAAGCTCGGTTGACCTTTCAACATAAACCGCTACGTACAAAGTGAAGCGTGATGAGTATCTGGATATCAATGCGTGGGATAACAAATCGGTAGTCGTGGGTTCTCTATTGTATTCTTATGCGTAACGGTTAATAAAATTAAATAATGTATTGCAAATATCTGGATTTTTTTAAAAATTAATAAATGGCACGACCGTAAACCAGAATTTTAATTTTAAAGATTTTTTTGCCCAAAAATTTGAAAAAAAAATCTCGGCCCTTCAATTTGTTAAAAATACTCGGGACGGGCCATATATTTTAAGACCAAATATTTTAAATCATTATTAGCTATAAAAATTATAAATAAAAAATTTTTAAAAAAATCTAGGCCGGGCTTGAAAATATAAAACCTGGACCTGGCCGAAAAAAAAATCGGAACCGTGCCGGGGCCGAAAATTTTTTTTAAAAAATTCCGAGCCAGGTTGTGTCAATGGTACTTCTGCAGGTCTCTGAAAAAAATCTTTCAAGAGCACAAAACTAACGATTTTTTTAAGATCAAAACATTTATTTTAAATTTGGGATTTCATCATGATAGATTTTTGAGCATAAAAATTACAAAAGATTTACTTAGATTGTGTCAAAAATCTTTTTTTAAAAATTCGAAATGGTTTAAAACTTTCGCAAATTATAAAACTTTAATGAATATCGTATGTTAAATTTTTGAAATTTATAAAAAAAAACATATATGTTTTTTGGACATGTATTTTATTTTTATATTTTAAAATAACATATTTATTTTTCATTAAAGTATCGAAAAGTTTGCGAATTTAATTTTTTGATATTTTGGATACAGCCTTAATAAAAGATTTTTTGTAATATTTAAAAAATTTAGAATTTTCTTTAAAATTTAATCAAAAAAAATTTGTTTGAGGATTCTCAAAAAAAATCTTCCGAAAAATCTTTGAAGATTTTATTATTTATTTTGAAAAGCATTTCAAACTCTTCTAAATCTTTGAAGATATCAAACTCATTAATAAACGATTAATAAAAGATGGAGTGGATGATAATAATCGTATATCTTAAAAGCGAGAAAAGAAATTTAAAATATTTAAATTTTATATTAGAAATAAAATTTTAAAAAAAAAACAAGTGAAAACAAATATGAGGATGAGATGGAATCGTTTAATTTTTAAATTAAATATTGTTATTAATATATTTAATTAAAGTATTTGAAGGATAGTAAAAATGCGTATGCGAGTTTTTGAATGTTTAGGTCAGAAAAAAATGCGTACATCGGTCAAATCGGCCAAACTTTTTACCACGACACTATTTCGCTAATTTTTTTTTGTAGCAAAGGAATTTTAGAGCTAAGAATTTATAACAAGACCATTATTAAGAATTTATTCCCACAAAACCTATGAACCTAATTATAGGAAATTTTTTCCTACCTCTAATGTTATCTATGAAAAGTCATTGTCACGAGATCATTACCGCGAAATAATGAATATATTTGCGAATGCATTCAAATGGAAAAACAACATATTCAAATGATAAGTAAGAGTTGGCTTAGATGCAACCTTTATCTAATGATGAAAAAATAACCTAGCAATTTATTCCTGACCTTTTCCACTTATAGTCAATAGCAAGGAGAAAATTTTTTTTAGTCGAATTTATAATTCCGATAAATTTATATCCCCCTCCCAACCTTCCAATATAAATTTTGAAAATTTCAAAATAGCAAATATTACATAAATTAGTCATTCCAAATTTACATTATGATTATAAAATGAATATTCCCTAATTCATATTAGTGATCTCTAATTTATTCAAATATAGAAATCTTTTTTTATCAATATAGTTTTACATTTCTACATTGAACATAAGAGTTTATGATCATTCTTCAAACAGATAACTTGTACCCTTATTTCTTGCAAAATTATTAATATATCCATTTTATTTCAAAATTAAGGCTAGACCTTAGGCTCGAATTTAAAAAATTTTTACCTTTGTAAATCTCAAATTCATAAAATTTACATGATAAAACGACTTATATTTTCACCCATAAATTTTATTTAGATCCACTTATTATAGGGTTTTTATAAAAATTTTGGCTTTTAATTTTTTTAAATACAAAAATGCTGATTTTCGTAAAAATTTATCATTGTTCGTTATTTTAAATTTTTTTTAGTCAAATTATTGATTAAAGTGATATAGTAAATACATTTAAGGGCAGATGGGGGAGGGGGATTATAGATGAGTAAATTTTTATTGGTTTAAAATGATATTTATGAGAACAGACTTCCAACGGGAATTCAATCGATTTGTAATAGATTATAAATTTTTGACGTATATATTATTTTTTTAAACTAACCTTCAACATAATCAGGTACGAAATTATCATTTTTCATGCCATCATAGGTCGATGTAATTAGATCTTTGACATATTGATTAAGGTTATCCGTTGGTAAGACAGCATTCACTCTGATGCCTTTAAAGACGGGTAATGTTTCCACATCCAATACGTTCATCAATAAACGTTCTTTGATATTTTTGACAGAGTTTTTGCTTTTATAGTTTTGATGTATGCTGATTTTGTGTAATTGATTGTGGAATATCATGTATCCATTCTAAGAAAAGAAGGTAGAAGGGTTATATATAGAAATTAGGGATGGGAAACAGAAACAAAAAGTTTGGCGCTTTTGTCGCTTATTTTTTTTTTTGAAATATTTAAAATCAAAAATTCACAAAAAACAAAAAAAAAGTAAGATTAAATAAAACAAAAACCGTGCTTTTTTGATTAAAAAATCTTACATTTTTATTTATTAATAAAAAATAAAATTAGATAGGAACAATTTTTTAAAAATTAACCTATCTCATAAAAGTAAAACAATGGCTTGCCCAATATATTTTAACCGGGAATGTAATTTATTTTTTTTATTGTTTACTAAATGCGTGCACAAATCTATGATGAGGTAACTATTTTCATCTTCTTTTATGTGACCTATGTAGTAACACACATCGGGAGCCTCTTGTATTAATTCTGGATACGAATCAGCCAAGTCTGTGTCTAATACAACAGTCAAGTGTCTTCCATCCAGATCCAATTTATAGTGCGGAGATACTATAATTTATATATTATTATGTTTCAGTGAATCACTGGCATAAATAGTCTGGACAAAAGTATCCTAGAAGAAAAAAACAAAAATACCCCAATTTTTGAATATACTTTAAACGCTCAAAAAGAGGGAATTTTTGAAATTATTTCTTTTTAAAGCATATAAATTTTTCCCTAAAATTGGGGTATTTTTGTCCATTGTCTTTCTGGCGAGGTATTTTTAACCAGGATTATTTCCGGGATTCTTTTAAAGTACACATTGTTTTATATATATGATATGTTGTATATTATAAGTATCTATGATTTAATACTTTAAAATAAATTCATAAATATAAACCTATTATTTGATCTGATTCCGACATTTCATTCAGCTAAAAATATTTATGTTTTTATTAGTATTTAAAAAAATTTTTTTTAAATTATTTTACCGATGAACTACTAGCTAATCGGCATATGAGCATTGTTATAAGGTTGATTAATACGATATTCATGTTGAGTTGAAATGCTTATAAATATTGCGTTTTTTTTGGAACCCCCTAAAAAAAAAAATAATATATTTTAGACACAAAAAACTTTTGTTGTAATTTTTAATTTATATTTTAAAAAAAAAATACTTTATAAAAAAAAGAATATAAATTAAAAGTAAAACAGTTTCCTGGCAAAATTTCTGAAATTCACAGTTTGGGGTTCTCCCATAGAGACAGGAATGCATTTCCGGTCAAATCAGATTTTCCAAATAATACAGTAAATTAAAAATAAAGGATTCTGATTCCCCATGGATTTTGGTCAAATTATGGTTTGCCGAAATTATGAAGAGGCCAAATTAGATATGTTTATGTATTTATAAAATTTATTTTATCAATTAATGTATATTTTAAATTTATAAATCCCTTTTCTCTTATATAGATTTCTTTCTTTCTTTGACATTTCTTTTTTCTTGCTTTGATATTTCTTTTTTCTTGCTTTGATATTGAAAACTAACGAATAATAATGCGTTACAAATTATTCAAGATTTATATTTTATTTTTTACCTTATTTTTTGATACCTGCAGCGGGTTATGTTACATTTTATTATTATATTTAGTCATTATATAATTACCCTTGTGCTTTTGTTTTTGTTAGCCGATTTTTAAAAAAATTTTAATTCATAGTATTTAACTATACGAGTCTAAACAAGTAGACTTTGATATAAATCTCAGAATGTGCATTATATAAAAATAATGTTCTATATACTATACACTCATTCTTCTGACACGCATAAAATTTGTGCGAAGATGGGGAGTTTGCTTGTTAAACGATCATTAAAAAAAATCGCACAATAGTAAAAAGTTTTCTTTTTCTTCAAAAGATTGACGATCAAGGGCAATTGGACAAACTTATAATTTAATTCATGGTTGATCCTATAGAAACTAGGGATAAGGTTACTTGCACTTAGAATTTATTTCTCTGTAAACTTAAAATATAACTGAAAATAGCTGTAATTTCTAATGTTTAAAAAAAATAATGTATTATGATTATTTGAAATATTCCAGAATATCAATAAATGATCTGATTGGAATAAAGAAGCAAAGAGGATTACATTGCATAACAATATTAATTATTTTTAAAAAATATATATTATAAACGAGGCGTATTAAAGAAATTCAAAACTTTGAATTTTGTAATTGTAGAAATGGCACGATAGAAAATTAATAATTATATTCAATAATTGGATACTTTTTTTTTCATATATCAGGGATCCTAGAGATCTTACAAAATTTTGAAAAAAATTTGTTATTTTGAGTTGTACCATTCTCGTAAATTTGCTTCAAATAGGGAAAATGGATAATATGAGCCATTATATTATTAGACCTGGTTCTAGGTCCACAGGTCTCTTATTTATATTTATAGTATTCATGGTGAAATTGATTACTTATATCCGGATATATATAGCTTCAGAATTTTAATCAAGAATATGGATAATTTTGCACCAAGGTCTATCTGTTTATTTTGAGTTTTTAAATTCGAAAATTACCTATAATTATGAATATATGATAGATGTGTATGTTTTACAAAATGATTTATTTTAATTTATGGAAAAAAAATTATACATTTATTTGTCTGTGTAAATAAAGTTATTAAATCCGAAAATAATTTGTATGTTAAAAAACAAAATTCAAATGATTATTTTTGGCCCCTTTAGGGAGAGGCATAATGTATTTTATATATAAAAAATTTATGGGCGCTATTTAGTAATTCTTATCAATGCATTAAAACAATAATGCACATTTATTTATTTATATATATATAACTTTGAAACTCCTAAGGGCCTTAAAGAGAAATATTAAAAACTTTTATTGACTAAAATATATTCAATTTTTTTTTGTAATTATTGCTTTAAAATTAAATACTTTATTTGTAACATTTAGAAATTCAGTGCTAAAAACGGTTTTCCACTTCCTAATTAAATATAGTTTTGAAAAAAAAACTCGAAAATCAATCAGATGCTGACCATCCAAAATCTTTCAATGTTTTTTTCATATAATAATAATATCGAGTCATTGAGACTACACAAGTTGAAATTAGATTTTATTTTAAACAATAAATAAAATTTATTTTAAAAAATTTTTATTTTTTATAAATTTCTTGAAAATTTTTTTTTTTTTAAAAAAACATAACTTTTTACACCCAAGGCTTTTTATAAGAATAATGTTATATTCCTTAACTTATTGATTAACTAGAAGCAATTAAAATTAAATATTGAATCTAAAACATTTCACCTTTTTTAGAAAGAATAATATATTCCTTATTCCTAGTAATGTAATTAATCATTTTTCTCTGAATCGAATTAGTGTAATACAACGGATGAAAGTAAAGGGGTTAATTGATTTTTTAAAAAAATATGAATTGAATACATTTTATACTTTGGATTGCCCACATAAAAAGAGATAATGTTTATGTATTCATGAGTTCCGAAAAGGTACAAAATTATTGCGAACAAAAATACACCAATTTTAATAAATTTCATGCTTATAAAAAGGGGGATTTTTTAAAATTATTATTTTACACTTAGTATTATTAGTGTAAAAAAAATTAAATATTTTTAGTGATAAATTTAGGATAATCTGGAATAAATCATATGTTCGTACCATAATAGTTATCTAATAAACATTGACTATTTTATTAAACCATTTTAAAAATATATTAACCCTACCCCCTGTACCCATGTTGATATCTCTTTAACCCTTAGCTAACTGCTGATGATGACTTGATTCAAAAAATGGGTCCTACTGAAAAAAAAACAATGTATATATACATCTTTATAAAATATTCATTAAAAAAATTTCAAAAAAAAATTAACCAAATTTTATTAAACTGTATTTTAAATACATTTATAACCCTACTACTCTCTTATTCTTGCTGGCTGGCTAGAATCTCTCAAACCAGTTAACTGCTTGTGCTATTGGAATAAAGCTGTAATATACTATTTCGAAAGGGTTTATTCTAATTGATTTAAAAATCTAAAATGGCCGTCAATATATTCGAAGTGGAATTTATAATATACACTATTAAAAATTAAAATTGGGTACTCATATTAAGTTTTGTTACCAAATTTTATTAAATCCGTTTTTAAATTAGGCCTACCATCGCGTAGTTCAGTAAAAACTATGATACTAATGTCCGTTTCGCGTTACTAGTCAGCTTTAAGTATTTGTTAAATTTTACCTGTTATGTTGTCTATAAACTTAAGCATTTTTCATAATCTAATTTTGTATTTAGCGTAAATTAACCTTTAAAAAAATTTGGGGGAGTAGGGATCTTTCAAGTTATTTTTAGATCACAAACTCGCACGTTCATGACTCTGAAAAAATTTTCGGTCTGCTGATTGGCATCTATGCACCAGGTGTTTATAAAAATTACAATTGGTATGCAAATATTTTGAAAATAAAAAATTAAATTTTGGATAAATATAAGCCATGCCGCGCCAATTTTTTCAAATACGCCCTCCCGTTTTTAGTATGAACGTGCATTTAGGTGGAATTAACAGACCCCTAGTAGGTGGTGCATAAATCTCTTAAAGCGAGAAGTGAGACAGGGAGAGATTACGTGAATTGGTAAAATTTATTTAATACACTGTTTTAAATTTAAATATTAACACCAAAAATATAGAAATGTTATGCAGTTGGAATTACTATTAATTTTATGAACGGGCACTGTCACCAATAAATCTTTTAGCCAATAGATTATTAATATATATAAACGCTTTTATTTTACAAATCAAAATCATTATAATATAATTTAAATAAATATTATTATGTAAAAAAAAGGAATACGGGTATTTAATAAAAAAAAAAATAAAGGGGGTACATTTCAATTTTCATATATAATAAATGGAAAAATATGTTCAATTGAAATACAAATCTGGTGATGGCACCATTTTGGGTCCCTTGCAAAAGAATACGTAATAAATAATAGTTTTCATAAAATGTTAAATAATTAAATAAAGGAGACTAGAATGGCTGTCACCAGCTAATTAGCAATTATTAACACAATTGTCAGTCTTATTAGTATTATATGTCATTAAATATAGAGTAATCTCAATTTAAAAAAAATAAATATGATTAATATTTAAAAAATAAATCAAGAGGTCGAAATATATAATTCCATTCATATCCATAAATAAATTACATTTCGTATATATATTTTTAAAAAATCATGCATCCTTTAAATCAAATTTATTCTTTAAGAACTGAATTTTTGAGCATTAAGAGTTTCTCGGTCAACACATCCTCATCCACGTGATTTTTATTAATTTCCCGATCACCATCGGCAGAACCATTTTGTTGATGAGACGTTGAGTATTCTGAAATTATGAGCCCTAAATAATATTTTTTTTGAAATTGTTTTGTTTAAAAAAAAATTATTTATTGAAAGTCAAACCAAACCGGTTCAGGCCATGATCCGTAGACTAGTCGGGTCTTGCCTGGTTGATTTATACTTTTACATGTTGGCCCATAACCAAAATGCATTGTAGTTTTCCGGGTTATTCTACATTAATTTGAGATTTTTTAGCCTTTTTTTCTATTACAAAATGTGATTTACAAGGATAGCTTCTACTAGATCCTTATACCACTATTTATTTTTTTAGCAGATATCAAACCCGACACTATCGCGGTTAAAAACGGGTGAGATGTCCAAACCTTTTTGTCATCTATAAGCAAAGGCTTGTTTAATATTTTTCTGGAGTAAAACCTTGAGTTATTTATTTTCAAAAATCGGCTCAAATCGAGCCGTTTAACAACACTACGATTATCTAAGAAAGAGTTTGTCCGTGAATATAAATTTCACGTTGCGTTTTAAAAGGTTTAAAAAAAATTGTTAGGAAAAGATGACAAAACAGTAAATTACAAATCTTTATATTCAAATTTTTTTGACCGTTTTGAACTCAAGGTAAAATAACATTGCCCGAACGGACTATAACGCCCTAATTATTATTTAATAATAACGTTTTTCTAAATAATAAATGTAGCAATCAAGATTTTTGCCTACTTATACAGTTGCCCAATTTATCAAAATTTTTACATTCCATCTAATTGTAATTATTAGGAATTTGATTGGGATTAAATATATTGGTTAAAATTAGGGAGTTACTACTCCTATTAGACAAGTTTTACAGCAATAAAGTTAAATTTAAATTATACATAATATTTATTTAAAAGAATGAAAGTGCCAAATTTGATTTGAAAATCAGAAGCCTCAAACCATTATTTTCTTTAATTAATATTCGCCCTAACTTTATTTTTTAAATGATTTTTGGGCATTACCAAGCCCTTGCTTCTTCTAAAGATGGTGCGAAAATTTATTTTAATGAAAGGTCTCAACGCGCGATAGGCGAGTTGTCAATAAAATGGCGCTAACATTTTACCTTTTTTTCTTTAATAATTTTTTTGAATTCGATTTCTTTCCTCCTTCAAATTTCTAACAAAATAAAATATTTGCATAAAAACATAATGCGTAACTTTGACACTCCATAAACATTTCTTTTATCTCGGGTGGGATAGATGGCAGGAGGGCTAATTGATCAATCATATTGGGTACGAATTTCCCGGAAGCGCAAAGGGCGGACTTGGTATGTTCACAAAATGTGATAAGCGTTAACAAGTGAAATTTGAGGGGAGCTATGAAAACATTTATGTGAATTTATCTGAATAAACATAGAATAAGTGTTTAAAAAAATCTATTTAAAATGCTATTTTTGTAAAAAAAATCTTTTATAAGTAAATATTTTGCAATTTTCATCCAAAAAATCTTTTTTTAAAAAAATGACTTTTGCTCAAAATATTTTCGAAACTCAGCAAGAATATTAGAAATAAAACCTCTATGTGAACGAGGTTAAAAAAAAATTAACAAAACCGACATAATGCAATGTAAGTTTTAATCAGAAACCCTTTTTTTTTATCTGGTTTAATAAATAGAAAGATAAAGAGTTATAATATTTGAAACTGTTTTAAAATTTATAATTTCGTGTAAAATAAAAATCTCTACCATTCGATTCCGACAAATCGTTGAACATGGCTTTCAATTTCTCCAATAACTCTTGTCTATAGTTTTGAACGATGACCCTATTATTCATTTATTGGGAATTAAACATATTTATAAAAAAAAGAGAATGTGGGTCATAATAAAGTATTCATGCGATTCTTTTGAACCAATCGAATAATTTATTCGTATTCGTGCGAATAATAAAATATAAAATTCTTATTTGAATTAGAGATCTGCAATGAGGGGGTTTTTAACCCGCCCACTCAATCTCCGGGTGGGTTTCTTAAAATATTTTAAACATTGGGCAGGTGGCGGAGGTGTTAAAAAATATTTTTTAAACAATTCGCCGGCGTGTTGGGCGGATGAATTTTATAATATTTTTCTGTCAAAATGAGCAGAACAAGACTTCAATTTATTAAAAATCATTATTTCATAATATTGAATATTTTATCAGTTTGATTAAAAAATATCTTAAAATAAATGAATAAATAAACAGCCAAACCAGCCGTTAATATAATTTTTAAACATAAAGAGGGTGGGTTAAACAAAATTTTAGAATAAACGGGCGAGAGGGTAAATTTTTAAGAAAAACCATAGTTTGGGTTGGGGAAATGTGAACTAATTTCTTTAAAAGGCAATTAGTAATAGAGATTATGTCCATTTCATTTATATATTGAGAATAAGAATTAAACATTATTATTTATGTCGGACAATTAAAATTACCTATAAGATCTGCAAGATTTTATCTTTTGATAATAGTAAAAACTTGTAACTACTAGAATTAATTTATAAACCCGTAATTCAAAATAAATATAAAATATAATTATTATATATTTTATATATGCATTATTTATTTTGTAGCAACGAGATTTGCAAGACATGTTAGATCCTCGCATTTACATTTTTTCATTGTGCAATTTTGGTTGCGCTGACAATATACATCTATTTTTTTGGATTCCGATTCTAGGTCTAAATCATGAGTGGCCTAAAATTAAAAGTAACATAAATGATGCATTTACATTTTCTTTATAATTTATCAATTAATTTAAAGATGGAAACTTATATTGGCGAAAGTCGAACTTCAGCATTGAGCTGATTGGATAATCTAAAGGAAAATATTCACGACATTTTATGCATTTTTCTAAATACAGTCAATATCCAATTCATAGAATACGAAGTGTTTGAATAAAAAAAATAAATATTTGTTATAGCGGCGAACACCTTTTATTTGATGTTAACCTCCTTCAAATAAGGTTTTCTTCTCTATAATTTCACCCAAATTATCTATAGATTGGCCAAATTATTTTACAAAATAAGGCATTAAACCGACATTTTTGAAATAGGAATAAACACCAATATCTCCACATTTGTTAGGATTATAATATAAATATTGCAAAATAATTAACGAAATTATCTTAATAAACAAAAATAAATATATACCAAGATCCGGTGATGGATAATATTCTCGGAGTTAAATCGTGTTGTTTTCAATTTCAGCTGTAAAAATATTATATGTTAACTAATGCATACTAATTTACTTCGAGAATATTCCATCACATAATCTTGGTATATATTCTTGTTCAATATAAAATGCTAGTCTATATATAATATTTTACAGATACAAATTGGAAACAATATGAATTCATTCTAAGAATATTATCCATCACATGATCTTGGTATATATTTTTGTTTAACATAAGATGTATCAGTTAACATATAATATTTTACAGCTCAAATTGAAAACAATATGAATTCACTCTGAATATATTATCGTATATTTTTGTTTATTGGGATAATTTCATTTATTTTACAATATTTATATAATATCCTGACAAAAGCGAAGGTATTGGTTATTCCTATTTCAAAAATGCCGGTTTTATAATATCTTATTTTGCAAAATAATTTGACTAATCTATAGATAATTTGGTTGAAGATATAGAGATTAAAACCTTATTTGAAAGGGGTCAACATCAAATAAATGGTGTTCGCAGCAATTTTATCAATTAACAGTTATTTATATTTAATATTTTGCATGATAAAAATAAAAAGCGTACGAAAACACATGGTGTATTCTAATGAATTGGATATTGATAATTAGAAAAATATATATAATATCATAATATTTTTTTTAGGTTATCCAATAAGCTCAATGCTAAAATTCGACTTTCGCTAGTATAAGTTTTCATCCTTTTTAAATTGATAAATCATAGCTTACTTATATAAAAATGTAACTGCATAAGCCGATTGTTGTAAATTATAAAAAATTTTTATGTATATTAAAAAATGTCAATCATTAAAAACTTTGATTTTTGATATATTTTTTTTTACAATCATTATTTTTTTTACGATGAAAATTTCTTTTTTTTTAATATAAAATGATTTTTATGATTTTAAATAATTTGAGTATCTTAAATAAAAACCGTTTGTAATCATCTGTTGTGGAAATTTTACTAAGTCTAAGAATTAGTAAGAAGGTCTTTCTGTAAGTTAAGGAGTTTTTTTATATATATATTTGATTGGGGTAAGTTTTCTTTGTTTCGTTTTCGTAGTTTCTTTTTTTTTGACACCGATAATTATCAATTAATTTTTTTTTTAAATTTTTTATGATAAAAATGTATAAAATATATTTAATTTTTAGCCACCGATGGTTTAGATTTAGAAATAGGATCAAATAGATGTATACTGTCAGTGTAAACAAAATTAAATTGCACAATGAAAAAAGATGTAAATACGAGATATCTAATAAGTCGTGCACTTCTCGTTCCATACAATAAATTTGTCAAAATAAATGATTATTTTATTATTTTATTTTGAAATATATCGAAAATAAAAAATCGGTTATGTAAATTAATTCTAGTGTCTTTATATTTTTTTTAGTTACAAGTTTTTTCTATTGTCAAAAGATAAAATCTTGCAAGATCTTACAGGGAAAGTAAATAGTCTTAACTTTAATTGTTCGACATAAATAATAATGTGTAATTCTATTCTATGAAATCGTGATGTCTATTATTAATTACTTAATAAAGTATCTAGTTCACATTTCCGCAACCCAAAATTTTCCTACCAGACTATCTGTTATCAATATGGCGTAAAAATGTAAATTACTTAAACATAAAATTATAGCCGCAAAATAAATTAGTAATTATCTTACTAGCTTATAATTAGGGGGTAAACGTAAAAATCCCCACCTCTTTTACAAAATTTGCCTAGTTTGGTAAATATTATTTCAAAATAAAGAATTTACCCCTAGCAAATTACTAAAAATGTGCATATGATGTTATAAAAAAATATACTAATTATAAGTATATATTAAAAATAAAGACCATGAAAAATTTGTGAGAAATTTATTTTAAAAAAAGGAGTACAAAAGCGAAGAAAATTTGAGATATAAACCGGCCAAAGGCCTTGAAATATGAAGTCCTAACATTATTCAATAAAATCAATGGTAAAAAAAATTAAAGGGACTTCACCCCTTGCAAAAATCTTGGAGTGTTAATCTTTGTTCTTGTATAAAATAATCTCTGATTTAAATCTTATGCTAGTGAGCCAACAAAGATTTTGAATCAATATAAATATGAGGGCTAATTGAATTAATCTGTGCTATATTGCAACATTGAAAAATGAACAAAATACTTAAATTTATTTCGTTAAGCTATAAATATACTTCATAGAAATATATTTTGAAAGGTTATAAATAGCCAAAATAAATCGGCTCCGGGCCTTAGCTAAAAAAAATCGAAATCGGCTATTAATTCAAATTGTTTTCTCTGAGTTATTTGAGACTATATTATGCGAGATATATGAATTGGCCTACAACCTCAGAGACCGGTCAAATCTAAGAGCTAGCGATAACACAAATTCGCTCAACTTGATTTTTCTACCAGGGCTGTGAACCATAATTTGGGCTTAAAATTTTTTTAGTTTAGACTAGAGGTCTGCATTGAGGGGGGGGGGATTCGGCCCGCCCGTTTACACCCACCCATTTAAGTTGGCGGGCGGATGGGCGGGTAAAAAAATTTGAGAATGGGCAAGTGGGCGGGCGGGTTTAGAAATTCAAAAAATGGGCGGGCGGGTTAAGGAAATTTAAAATTTTTGTTCAAAAACAAACTAAAGAAAAATCATAATTAATTAAATGATCAATAACAATATTTCTTTTTTTATTGTACCAATCGTTTTTTTAATTAGTTTTTCGACATCTTTATCTAATTTTTCCCACCATATATAATGTCTCGTAATGGATTTCATTGTTGTAATACTCGGATGTCACGTATGCAATGTATGCAAAACTCTTTTAAATTTAAATTGAATTTTTTTTTATGCTTAAATTAATTTCCTAAATTATAAACTTTTTGTAGGAGTGTAATGCTCAAATATTTTTATTAGAACCTTAAAAAATTGAAAGAATGGCCATTATTAAATTTTATAAGTGGATTTAGGTTAAAAAATTTTTAGACTAATGGGCGGGAGGGTAAAGAATTTTAGACAAATGGGAGGGCGGGTGGGTGTATATTTTTTAAAAACTTTGGACGGGTTGGGCGGGCGGGTTAAAATTTTTTAGATTGGGTGGGCGAGCTTTACATTTTATATTTAAAGGCAACCCATCAACCGGGGTAATATGGGCATGGCGTAGGTCGACCGGGGTAATATGGACAAGGCTTAGACTCAAATCTCTTTCAATAGGGTTCACCGCCCTAGTTACTATCACCCGACAAGTCGGCCTTAACTCTCCGAATCTCATGAAGGCGTATGGTTTAAAGTATATAATTATATGTAATATGTATTTTATTTCATTTTTTTTAAATTTAAACTTTTCTTTTTTCTTGTCCAGTTTTTTTAGGATAATATTCAAGGAATTTGTTTGTGATATATCCAGTAACTCGTTCAAAAATGCGGACGCGTCCTATAAATTATTTAAATTTTAAAATTTACATTTGAGTATTTCAGACATTTATATAAATTATTCGATTCCAATATAATAGATTTTATCTTATCCTTCACTGGGGAAACATACAATTAAGTGGCTTTCACCATCCAGCAGAGGGTGTCTCCAGTGCAGTGAACTTGCATCCACTATTGGCAGTAATTTACCCTACTGTCAGGACCAATTTAATTAAAGAGGGATGATGATACCTCTTGTGGATAAGCCAGAATTCAGTGATTGACAGTAATTTACCCTATTGTCAAAACCCGTTTAATTTAAGAGGACTGATGGTACCTTTTTTAGAGAGTAAGTATAAATTATGAGGTAATATATATATATATATCGTATGGGGATTCGGAATCTCTTGATTTTAAATTTTTTACCGAAGGCGATTTAAAAAATTTTAAAATCCGATTTAAACGGAAATGTATTCTAGCATGTGTAGAGTATCTATCCTATAAATTTCAGCCAATTTTGATATAAATTAAAAAATACTAAAATGTCTATGGCTGAAATTTATAGGATAGATACTCTACACATGCTAGAATACATTTCCGGTTAAATCGGATTTTAAAATTTTTATAATAGCCTTCAGTAAAGGATTTAAAATCAAGAGATTCCGAATCCCCATACGACATATATATTAATATTTTAATTAATTTTTTTTTTATTTGTTTTATTTTATATTCATTTTTAATTATTTATTTGTTTTTTTATATTTTTTTTTATTATATATATTTTTTTAAATAAATATAATTTATAATAAAAGAGCTTAGTTTAGCCATTTTTTTAATTATAGTTTACCTTGAGGAAGATAGATTTTGTGTCATATATTGGAAGTTATCTTTCAGCTCATTGAAATATTCAATATAAGAATCTGATATTTCTTATTTAACTGTTATATGATTTATATATCTTTCCCTTCTTATTGTTGGGTTAAATTAAACACATTTCCTTAAAAGCAGTTGAGTGCGAAAGTCTTGATATCAATTTTTAGTGAAACAATGAGTTGAAATTTTTCTTGATTTCCTCTTAGACTTTATAGCCTATTGTGTGGAAGGAATTGATAAACTTTTTCATAAAAAATATCTTGTATATACTCTTATTTAGCAAAAGATACAACTATCTTGTATCCTTTTGAGATTTTAATAAGATATTTGTACCTGTATCTAAGATATATATTTTTTAGGAAAAATCTGTATCTAGATAATTTTCCCAAAGAACCTACCTAACTCTGAATTAAGGTAATTAATATGTTTATTTCATAAATTAATCATTTTAATTATATAATTGATAATATATTCAGAGCCTTTAAGGGTATATAAGAAAATTTACAATTTATAAAAATGTTTCATTTATAAAATAATTTGATAAAATAAATCATATTAATTACCTTAGACACATAAAGATCAAATATATATATATAATATGCTTTATAAAAACTTCAAAAAATAAAACTTACATTCTGGACTAACGTTTTGCTGATGTTGCTTAGGTGAGTTTTAACAGCGTCGGGAAATTCCATTATAGCTTTCCTTCTCCCCTAGGGGTATATATATATGTATGTAATATATAAGAAAAACTCGTCAGAATTTTAATTATGTAATATTATTATCCAAACTTTTGCCTGTAGCATTCACTACAGATGGGCAAAAACGTGATCAACATTTAACACGTCTAAATGTAAAAAAAATGAAGTTTCTATTTAATCAATATTAAATTTTAAATGGGTAAAAAGGGAGCTTTTTTGATTCACAAATTATCCTTAAATTATTTTTAACCAGTCCAATATTTTTTAATATTCACCCTAAACCGAACCGGTAACTGTTATTGGTTACCCCATCAATTTCGCCCAAATATAGAAAATGAGAGATCAAAATTTACCTAATCGAGCCAAGAATAGGTATAATTTATAAATATTGAGTGAAATGATGAAATCGCGACAGATATTTACGTATATCTCAAAAAATATTATCGCTGTGAGGAATCAGCTATGATTTTGCTAGCCATTTCGCCTAAGAGAATTAGGTTTACTATAAACACAGCGTATTTGTATCCATTTTAGATATATTCTTAGTTCGTTTTTTAAAATCTAGACTTATTTTTGCTACCTTGATCCCGGTTGAAAAAAAAAATTTTTTTTAAATGAAGATTTCAATTGGTATAATTTTTATATCAACTCGATTTCACGCCACTATAAAAATTATAAAAAGATTTTGTTTTTAAAAACTTCAATAGTGGTAGTATTTGTAATATCGGGTCCTTTTTGATGTGACGTTTGACTGTATTGAAGTTTGCAGATTATCAGCAGTTGCTCGAATAATTCGCAACCGACTGTTTTTAGGAGGTATTTGTTCAGGTCATCCTTGATTTTATCTGATAATCCAAAAAAAAATATTTTGGTTTATTATCATATCATTCATTCATCGACTCGAATATTAATTGATTAACTTTGTTAAGATAATCTCTCAACCTGCAATGACATTAAAAAAACAATCTGCAATTATAATTTTTAAATTTGAACTTATTATAAATGTAAATAATTAAATCATATTTTTTAATCAGAGACTTATAATCTCAAAGTTTAAAACATGGATAAAAAATGGATCCATTTCCAGTTCTGAATTTGTTTTAAGTGCTTCCGGTTCCTAAATTTTTTTAAAAATGGGTTCTAGGTTACCCTTCTAAACTTGAGCGGTTCGTATTTTCCAGATTCTCCGTTTCAAATTTTTGTTAGGCCAATCAAAAAAAATTTTTCTTAACAGGTTCCGGAAAATTTCAAATTGGGTTTTTGTTCCAGTTTCTATACATTTTAAAAATCGATTCCTAGATTTGTGCTGGTCCCCATTGGTTCTAGATTATGATTTCCGGTTCCAAAATCTCCTTATAATATATGTAAACTGATCATTATGGCAAAAGAAAGTTGATCAATTTAGAAGCCATTATTAGTTTGCTTTATTTATTGCATATTTTATATTTAAAAAATGGCGAGTCCTCCCTTAATTTTATTTATTAAATTTTCACTTCGTTTAGTACCCCTCTAGGAATCTAACAACTCGCTGGACCACTAGAAGAAATCACCTATCCTCTAACTACAGCTGACAATTATTATGATCTGTTTTTTTTATCGAACTAACAATTACATATATACTTATATAATATTATTAGTAACACAGTAAATTGTGTCTGTAAACATTTCCAAAAAAAACGAACGCGTTCACGTTCAATGTTCACATTCAAAAAAAACGCTTTCACGTTCTAGGTATGTCGAAAGTACATGGAAAAGAAATTCAATCTTGTGACAATATACTTATACTGGATTTTGAACAAATAAAATTACGATTAATAAGCATAAATCAGGGCAAACTGTATATGGTTTCTAAATTGATCAAAAAAAATTTACCTTAAAAAAATTAATGAAAGATTTTTTTTCTGAAATTCCATAGTTGCTAGTCTTTGCATTACAAATAAATCCCTAACCTTTTAAATGATCAGTCTACGCATATCATTAAAAGTCTATGGATTTGATTTGAATAAATTTATTTTCATTTATAAAATAAAAAATGGTATATTTTATGCAAACCATGACTAATAAACAGTTGAACGCCCTTTTGAAATACTGTAATTTTGTGATACAATTCATTAATTCGTTCCTGAATTTTCTCCATTTCTTGCTTAGTTTCGACGCGTTTGCAAGTGACGGACGTTAGGTAGAGCCTTTTGCACTCCTCCTCGTATTCTTGATTTATTGGTCTAGGAATTTATTTATTTCAAAAAAAAATTAATCTAGGGGATAATCTAGCTTTTTTCGGTCGGGATTGCAGGTCTAGGCCGGATGGTCACAGTCACTCTTTAGAACCCGGATAATAGTTCGATCTAGGCCATATCCTTAGTTATATAATTTTTATTTTTATTAAACTTATACGTGTCCCTAATTCGTTTTGAAACTTATTTTTGTTTAGATTAAGTCTATTCAGATTTTGAACTAAGGACACTCTATTCTGTTTCATTTTAAGTATAAGTACTAAAAATATAGATAGCCTCTTTCATTTCAGATTTCTGTTTGGAAATAAGACGAGCTACGGACACAGCCTAAATAATTTAAAAATTAAAGATTGAATTAGGAATAAGAGTATTGTATTTAGTTAAGTGTAAAGGAAAATGTAGTTTTTGATTCCTATAAACAAGCATATAATTCGTATTCAAGAATTTTTCTTAAAAATTATATTTTATTTGACATATTTTCATGTTTTAGCATTTAATAAATAAGAGGTCTAATAAATGATAAATTAAATAATTAGTTTTAGCTCTCATATTAAGTTTAATATGTTTATTTCCATTTTGAAGGGAAAATGTAAGATATAGGATGGGAAGTCTTGTCCAATAATGTGATATCGGTTTTTTTTTAATTTAGGACCAAGATCGATAACAATCTTATCTAGTTATACAACATAAATTCAAGAGTATGATGTAGTAAGACTTAGCCCAAAATTTATTTATACTTAACAGAAATATTAATCTAGGTTTGAGGCCATAAACCTTAAATAAGTTCTACTTAGTCAATAATTTTTCAATTTAATCATAATTTTTTTTAAATTAAAATTATTTTCGCAAATTCTTTCCTTCTTCCGAGTTTTCTTTCTCTCTTAATCATTCCAAGTACATTCTATTCTCCATAAAAACTTTTTAAAAAATCAGAATACATTTGCAAAACTCAATTAGTAAATTGCATAAATAAAAAAACGCAATATAATCTTTAATCTAGTAAACGATCTTTTGTGAATTTACTGGCTCAAAATTTGGCCTATAAGATCGAGCACCGACTGTAACCGCTCGTCGCCTGCGTCTTCGCGTCCTCTGAAGTTATTAAACACGTTTTCACTGATTTTTTCGCGTATGTCATCAATGTCGAAAGCTATTTCTTTCGCGGGGCTACCAGATTCGTTTTTAGAATTTTCAAGATTTTTCAGTCTCTGCTGAGCGAGAACATTTTTGCCAGACGTAACACTCTTGGTCTTGTGTTCTCGGGCGCGAGAATTTTGGGAACCACCACCTTGGTTTTCTTATGTTTGAAATAATTCAATTATAAATGTAAAATAAAAGGATGATTTTCTTTTCTTTCTTTTTTTATGGTAGATAAGTTTGGAATTCATATTTATGCTAATTTATTAAGAATGTACGTTATTTAGGGCTGTATCCAAGAGCATCAAAAAATTAAATTCACAAACTTAAATTTCAAGGAAAATAAATAAACAAGCTATTTTAAACAAAAAATAAAAACATGTCCAAAACTTTATTCTAGAAAATTTTATAAATTTCAAAATTTAACATGATTTCAATAAAAATTTTAAAATTTGCAAAATTTTTGAAACTTTTTAAATTTTCGACACAGTCTTACCAATTACACTTTATACCGCTCAAATGTTTTACTATTTGCAATAAATAATTATTTATTGTAATATATATAATAAAATATTTGAAGTGTTGCCTCAGGCTTATAAAATGCAATAGAGGTTTTAAAGAAAATTAAATGAAAGATTTTTTAGAATAAAAATCACAAAAGATTTATTTGTAAAAGATTTTGCTTAGGTAAAATTTGATCCAAAAACTTGAACATTCTCAAAAAAAATATTTGAAGACATTTCAAACTCCGAATATATTACAATAGAAAACATATTCACATTAATTTTATTGTAGTAATTTAATTATGAAACAAATCAAAAAATATAAAATAACAAAAAATTTTAAAACTTAAAATTAAGATTGCATAGATTACCTATAGTATAGGTATATTTCATTTACCTCTGGCATGCAATTATGAATAAGTGAATAATTAGGCAAAATACTACTAATATAAAAAAAATAGCTAAGATAAAAATATCGATATACATTTGTCAGAACTTAATATTTTATTTTTATTCAAATTTTACTTTATACGTAGATAAACAAATCATCCCATTTATATGGCTAAGGCTAAATTCATAGAGGGATCCGATCCAATTTATGGGCTGACCAATTTTTAAAATCCGTTTATGGGATCATTCTTTCTTTATTAATATTATTTTACCATTAATTCTATTCGCAATAATAATCGAAATATTATTTATTTTAATTTTTAAAAAATTAATCTCATTATAAGATTTAAAAAGTGCTCAGCTGATAAATCGGATCCATGAATCCAGCCTACCTCTCCTTTTCCCCATAAAGAAATATGAGTAGTTCCTGCGACGATATAATTTATACATTAGACAACAAAAATTGAATTCTGATAAAGTGAAGTTATAGTTAAAAAAAATCAATAATTGATTAGTAGTAAAAAAATAAATAAATAATAAAACTCGTGCTAGATCTTTTCTTTCGTTCCTCTTTCCTGGAGACGCCATTAGTTTCGTTTTCGTTAGCGAAGCCGTTATCGACCAAATTTTTGTTGCCTACCTTGGCAAGGCTATTATTTACGTTCTCCACATCTTCATCAAATAAGAGATAGGGCGTATGGCTTTGAAAGTTCTTGGATGTTGGATTATATTTTTTTTTATTATATAGATTTACATAGGTGGAAATAAGAATTTCGACCCCAAAATAGGATTTCAAATCTCAAGGTTTTTCTTTCTCATATACTCAACTGAAATTGATAGTCGGGTCTGCTAAGAAATTAAATAAATAAGTTTATTTCATGTTGGATTTGTATAATAAAACTAAATTACTCCACTAATTAAATTAGCCATCAACAAGTTCCATTTTCTTTCTCTTATTATTTCTAATTTTTTCCTTTCATTCTTTAGGGAATTTAATCGATTAAAAAAAAAGAATGTTGTTGCATGAATGATTCAAAATCAAAAAAAATATCAAGGCAAATAACACCACTAGTGCGGTAATCTAAGCCCAACCAATGGTCCCTACAACGGAAAAGAGGGGGTCCAAAGCAACTGCTTCTAAAAATTTGAGTGGGAGTACTTTTATTTTAAATTTAATTCTTTTATTACACCCATCCATAACTAATTGATTTCTGGTTTGTTATATCGTATTCAACCTCGTGATTCATTATATTAAATAATAAGTGAGGAGGGGGGGGGGGGAGGATGTTATTGTTATATTTTAATAAATTTTGGTCGATCTTTAGCAAATTAGGTTGTATCAGAGATTTCTTGTCATAAAATTATTTTTCCAATTTCAAAATATGCCCAAGAATATTACAAATAAGATACAAATGCATACTTAATAATTGCACATGGCATAATATAAGAGATTATAAATAGACGGACCACATTAGAAAAAGATATGATGGATTTAATTTTAACCATATAACCCAGAATTTTTGGATGTTTTTCAAAGGCACAAGATTTTATGGTGGAGAGAAATCTACCTTTAGATTTTCAGTTCTAGAATTATAACATTACAATCCAAAAAGGAGAGATATATATATTTTCATCAAATATAATATTTTATTTTACCTTTAAAACCAATGTGTTTTATGCTGCACCTGATTTGATTATTATGCAGTTTAATGAAAGATTTAATGAAAAATCAATGAATCAAACATCATTTTTTACACCAAAGTGAATGGCAGAAAAGTCAATCGTTAAAGATAATTTCGAGTATATCTGTGAATTTTACCATTTAAATTCAAGTAATATTTTTGAAGAAATGTTGAAGTTTGGAAATATTTATAAGATGGCTAAAACAGGGGATGTAATTATTACATGTGACCCAGAGGTTAAAATCTAAAGATTTGTCAGATTCTGAGAATTGTAAATTTATTTAATTAAAATATTTTTACTAAAACATTATTTAGTTTCTTCTTCTGATGATGATAATTCTGAGACTTATGATTTAGACTAAAACTATTCGTTTATTTTACCTTATCGTCTACTTTTAAATTTTTTTGCTTACACTTTAACAATTTTATATAAATATTTATTAACCATTCCTACTACAAAGGGTCATGATTAAAATTAAATTAATTAAAACAAGACTTCGTAGACCATGAAAGATCCATTTCTTAATAATTTAATCATTTTATCAATGGAAAAAATTTTTTTAAACAATTAAATATTGATTAAATTATAAATTCTTTCACTTTCTCTTCCTAATTTGTCTAAATTATATATTTTTTTACATTTTATTTATATATTACATATTAAAGATTGATGAATTAAAAATTGTTTCTGAATTTATGGGTGTCAAATAATTAACCATTTTTTTAAGGGAAGGGGGGGGGGACACTTTTCAGGGGGGTATTTTACTTCCATCACTCAGAAGGTATAGGCCACTGAGCTCAACAACAATTTAAATAATATCTTAATTAATCTCAAACAATTTCCTATATTTCTTTTTATTAATATAAACCATGGTAGGTGACATCTTATTTTATAAGAAACTAATTTGGTCCTAGTGATTCTCAAAATATTACATATTATTTATTTTTAAACAGCAACATGGTTGGTGTTTGATAAATAAAACGTATATAAAACTTCAAACAATACTTTCTGAGCCTTTTCTTTGATGGGCTCTGAGAAAAGTTTGGAACAGGAGATTATAAAACATTTGGCAAGGAGAAAAGTGGCATCTTCTGTGAGTAGCAAAGTCTCATTGGTGTTAACATTAGGGCTATCCCACAAAAAAGTTGCATCATCAATGAATTTATATTTTGCAGCAATAGGACATTTTCTGAATAGGTTGACTATGGTTTGTGCATCTCTGATGGTCATAAATGATGGAATCATTTCCTGGTAGGTGGGGGTAAAAATGCTATTTTTTATTTGAAGTAAAAAGAGGAAAGGCTAGCATATTCTATATAATAAATGAATTTATCAAGGGGCTAATTAGCTTTGTAGACACTGAAAAGTTACTTTTTCAATGTATGAGTGAATGTTATAGATTTTTTATGAACTAGCCAGCCTTATAAAAAAAATGATAATAATTTATTCTTAACTAGAATGTCACAATAGTGTGATGATGATAGATTTATTTCAATATTTGATAATATTGTATCTAAAATAGATTGGTGAATGCAAGAATCATTAAGAAATATTGGAATTTGGTTGGTATCATTTAATTCTTCATTTAATATTTTAGTAACAAATGTCTTAGGATCAAATATACTAATTTTGTGTAGTCCATCATATTCTAAAATAAATTAATATTACAAGGATTGCTATTTTTATTACCTAGATATTTATTCTGACTATAGTATGATAATACCCAACACCTTTGCATATTAGTGAATATCAGTGGAATATATTTGATAAATATTAATTTGTCTTTCTTGTTACCCTGTAAAATGCCTCTTACCTCATTATCAACTATGAGTTTTTCAACAAGGTCTATGGAGTAAAACAAATCATTACAATTATTAATTATTTTATTGTAAAACTTATAATCAAGTTTTCATTGATTTGATAATGAGAAGTCAGATATTCCAAATTCATAGGTCTAATATATATAATTAATTGACAATATAATAGGGTTATAAAACTTTGTTGTGGCTATCAAGAGGCCCCTAAGTTTACACTTTTGACTATTGACATAATTTTCAGTATACAATGTCTTTGCATCATTATCATATATACCATGAATCGTTTTTAGTAAATTGTGTTTAATAACCTTTTTATTTTTTTTACTAGATATTTAAAATATTTAAAATACATTATGAATATATTCCCCAGGAAGATCAAAGGATTTTGCTAAGTCGTTGATAAAAAAAATGCCATGTAGAGATAATTTTTGATTGACTTCTTCAGCTATAGATTGTTCATACTGCCTACATATCTCATTAAAATTTAAATAACTAATAAACAGACTTGCTAATAATTTGTCCCAAAATAAATTTCAAAGAATTATCTTGTTTTAGTAAATCTGTTACAGCATTTTGAATATGATTAAGGTCAAGCTTTAATATGGTTGCTAGGTCTACAACATTAATCCTACCTATAAGTTTTATTAAAATAATAATTTATCACAAACAAAAACCTCCAGAAGCTTGTAATTCCTCTTTAATTTCCTTTATCAGGTGTTTTGGGGTAATGAACTCTTTCCCATCTGTAGTAAAAATTAGTTGTATAAGATTATTTCCACTTAATTTATTCACAATTTCAATACAATTATTATCAGATAATCTTGAATTAAAATATAAATATAAACTCTCATTAACATTAAGAGAACCTGTTTATATGAGTATCCTCCTGAATCTTCTTAAAAAAATTAGATAAATTTTCAATTTCTGACCAATCTCCCATATTTATAAACTATATGACTAAAAAAAATTTAAGAAAATTTATGTATGAATGGTTAAAACATGTGATTTAAAGGACGCGTTAGAGAATAGCTATATTGATAAAATAAAATTTGATAATCATATTATGGCAATAATTAGATTATAATTCTAATACATAAAATAATTCATGCCCTATTTAAATAAAGATGTTAAACATTGTAATGGGTTATGTAACGTTAGGGGATAAAGTGACAAAGCGTAAAATTTATTACGTGGTATTCAATTGATTATTTATTTGTATTAATTAAACCATATAATATATTAATATTAATAAGTCCTTGTTTTTGAGTAATTATCAAGAGCGAAAATTGTTACATTTTAAATTTTTTAGCAATTTTTCTTCATTTGAGGTAGATTGGATAAACGATAAAAATTTTACTCTTTTTAAATCCCTACTTTAAACTTGTTATTGAAGGCACAGTTATAATTTTATTTCATTCAAGTTTTGTAAAGTAGGTTTTGGTATTTTTTTGAAATTTTTAAAATTGAAATTAAACAATATATTTGTTTGATTTTCACTTTTTTATAGAAAATTAATAAACAATTTTTTTAATTTTTTTTAACATAATAAAAAATTAAAATATATCATAAATGCAGTGGCATAGCTAAAAATTTTCCTTAGAGGGGGTCCATACATATAAAATCTTGGCCGGGTTTATCTTATAAATCATATTTGTTTTTCTTATAATATAAAAGTCCTAGAATTATTGATCATTTTAATTAATGTTGTTAAACGTCTTGATTTGAGCCAATTTTTATAAACAGCTTACTCAATATTTTAGCCAAAAAATTTTTTCTCAAGCTTAGAGATTTCACGAATAATGTCTAAACTTTTGTATATTACCCATGAGCAATTTTCAGGCTTGCATAATTTTCTGGCTAATATATTAAGTTAACCATATATATCGGCTCAAATTGAGCTATTAACATCACTAATTTTAGTTAAAATAACACATTTCGACATAATTTTTATAGATATACGTTTCAATATATTATACATACTTTTATAAAAATTAATTTACAAATAAAAAGCGATTATTTAAAATATAAATATTATATTGTTTTAATTATAAATATTATATTGCCTTAATTATAAATTATATACTTTATAACTATTAGTATTAAACATATAAATTGCTTTTTATAAACGATATAAATTACTTTAATTATAATTGATATTTTTTATAATTAATAGTGTTTTATAACACATTTAAATTATAGATTAAAATATTATAAATGTTATCTATAATAAAATAAATGTTAAAAAAATTTTTATATATAACAAAACATAAATTTTATATAAACTATTGTAAAACAATTTATAAATAACGAAATATAATTTTATGTGAACTAAACAAATTTAAAATAATAAGTGCTTATTTGAAAAAATATTTCGATTGCTTTTGATTAAAAAAAACTAAAAATACTATGTTAAAAAACTTTATATTTTATATATTTAACTTAATTCTTAATGGCCCTTTGGCCATTTCCTATATGACCTCATTTAGGATAGGATTAAGATCTCTATATATATTCAGAAGAGCCAATCCATTGGTCATCGCCTGGCCAGAGGTTACCCTTAAATAACTTTTAAGTCGAGTCAATGTCGAAAATGACCGCTCATTGGCCCAAGTAGTTATGGGAAGTGTTGCTAATATTGTTAAAAGTGTTTTGATATTTGTTCTTAAGTTTAAAGTTTCCTTAAATAATTGTAATGCCTCAAGAAAAATATAAATATTCATGGTATTTATTTGATATAAAGTTACTTTTGAGTTTTGAACGTATAATTTAAAAAGGGGGATATAAACTCGACCCCCCCCCCCTATAGCTACGCAACTGCATGCTGCATAAATGTATCGTATGAGTATGAAATTTTCTTTTTATTTATTATAAAAAATATACAATTTTAGATTTACTTCCCGTACATACTTTTTTTAAACGTAGTAAAATATTATATTAATTTTTTTTTAACGTGGTAAAAATAATATTATTTTTTGTGGACACATTTTGTAACATTTTTTTATCTTATTCGGTTTTTGAATCGAACTAGAAAATAAATACGATAACTCAACATTTATCGCACCCGCTTAGCGCTATGTCCTCGGTAAAGCAGCTTATCATCAGTCCTCATGGGTTCTTAAATTTTATTGTTATTTATTTTTAAAGTTGTGTTTTTTGGCCTGATATGTGCAGATTCAACAGAAGATCGACCACTCCCTCTTAATGGGCGAGTCTAGGAGTAGGTGATCAGTAATATTTTAACATCGAGAATATTAATATGGTATCAAGTAATCTGTAATATTTTAACATCGAGAATATTGATATGGGTATCAAGTTAAGGTTCATTAATATTTTTTTCAAGTCAAAAACAATATTCACTCTTAGTCAATGGGTTGGACTGGACATGGTATAAAGGTGGAGGGAATGGGTTAAAAAAAATAAAAAATTTTATATGGTTATCAAATAAAAAGTAACATCTATCGAAAGTAAGAAAAAAATTCTCATTTCCCTGTCATCCTTGACAGACTGTTTAAATTTTATTTAAGCTTTTTTTAAAAAAATTACAAGGGAAGTAATGCCTCTCTTGCTTCTATGAACGCTTCGTTACTGGCTTCTTAAGGATTTTTTAAGAGAGAGAAGCACTATTAGGCGGGGTTTTCTTAAATTTTATTAAAGGTCTTTGAGTTCACTTATTATAGGCCTCTGGAATTAAAAATAATTTTGTTTTCACTTTTTTTAAATAAAAATACTCTTATTTCTAAATATATTTTGAATTATAGCCGTTATTTTAAAAATTTATTAACTTTTACTAATTTTTCTTTCAAATTCTTTTTTATTGTGATATATTGTATACATTTTGGAGTAAAAGGATGGGGGGGGGGATTATATGCAGTGGAAATTTTTTATTATCTCTAATATTTAGGCCAATCTGCGATGTCATTTGGTTGTTACTATATGTCACATTATAATTTTAAAAAAATTATAAATCATTAAAAATATAATATAAGGTTTTAATAAGTAATATATTGTTATTTATATGTTTACTGATTTATATTAAAACAGGTTTTTATTCATTTATTTTTATAATCATACGAAATAAGTGAATTAATCGTTTATTAAAAAATAATTATTATTTTGATTTCTATCATTATAAAATGATACGCTATAATTAATATCTTACAATTATAAATTTACTAAAATAAATTAAAGAAATTGATTAGAAAAAAATGCACTATTAGGACGTTCATGGATCAACGCTTTCAAAAATATCTTGAATAAGTTCATAGCAAAAATTAATACAAGTTATGATGATAAAATTAAAAAACTGACCAAAAACTGCGAATCCAAAATGACTAACATACCAATTAACAAAGCAAATGTCAAGCTATATTTAAGGAGAGATGCCTTACCTAAGATTATAACACCAAGGTGTATACCTTACAAAAATTGAAGTTGTGGGTAAAGAACATAATAGATGAATACAAAAAAAAATCATCGAGCCGGTTAAAGATGTTAGATGGCAAGTCCTATAACGCCATCTACAAGAATGATGGGAACATTAGGCTTTGCGCTGACTTTAAAGACACAATTAATTCAACTCTAGAAGATTTTAAATATCCACTTCCACGAATAAATGATTTAATAACTTTCGGGAGAAAAGAAATTTACCAAGATCGATTTTAAAAACGCATTTCTACAGATTCCCATTGATAAAAGCTGCGGAAATTTTTCGACAATATCCACACACAAGGGATAATACCAATTTACTAGACTTCCTTTTGAGCTAGAGACCTAATCTGCATTATTTCAACAAATAGTGGATTCTGTGTTGTAATATGAAAGATATCATATTTATATCGATGATTTACTTATAACTGGAAATAACGATAAATCTCATTTAAATAACATTAAATAAGTTTTGGAAAGAATCGTATTATATGGTTTAGTACCTAATTGCCAAAAGCTTGTTTTTCAAAAATGAAATTCGTTTTCTGAGTCATGATATTGACAGAAAGTAGATACATGCGAATCATGACTAGATCAAAGCAATAATAAGCATGCCAGAACTAAAATTAGCTTCTGAACTATCAACATTTCTGGAAATGGCTGACTACTAGAGAAAATTTTAAAAGACTTTGCAGATATGCTGATCCTTTATACTAAATTGTCAACAAAGAAAAATGGGCATGGAATTTAGAACACTCTAGATGTTTTAATGATTTAAAGACGTTGATTAGTCTTCCTACAACATTGATTTATTTTAACCCCAAATTACTCATCGGAGCTACTGATGCAACTCTATGTAATGTATTTCACACTTAAATAGATGGCAAAAATAGCATTTGCATCAAGAACTTTATTAAATTCTGAAATGAATTACACCAACATAAGGCTCTTGCTATAATGTTTGCCATCAAGATATTCCAGGAATATTTAATTAAGACTATATTTGCACTTATCATTGACCATAAAACTCTCGTCTATATTTTCACTAAGGGTCTTAAGGACAACAATACTATGTCCTTGCAGAAATGGAACATAACTTTAGGTAATGATTTCAACATAAAATATAAAGTTGGCATACAATGTTGTTCCTGACTGTAAGATTACCATAAAAAGATAATATTACAATTATAAATGATTTAGGGGATATACCTATTAACTTCAAAATATGTGACGAAACTTATAAAGTGTTACATCTGAATATTATTGTAAAGGTTAAGATATATTTTTAAAGGTCACGTTATATATATTTTAAAAGGACATAATTTGTATATTATATTAACTTTCCGACATGTAATATTATATTATCGAGGTTAATCAAATTGCATATTATTAGAAGTTAAATTGGATAATTATATAAATGTATATATACAAAAGAATTACAAATAAAATTCATTATCGTTTTTTTTAACTTTAGATTTAATATATAGATATTAAAATATCGAAAGTGAGAAATGATATAAGAATAAAGAACCTATAAAAAACAAAATTTATAAAAACATTCAATATGAACTAAGTATCAGTAAAGATTGTCTTTATAAGAACAACAAAATCATTCCATCAAGTATGTGAAAAAATATACTGCAAATATTACATGAAAGTCAATAGGAGCAGGAAAAATCAAATCCTTAGCCAAAGTTTATATGTGGTGGTCCGGTATGAATACGACATAGAGATTGAAGTAAAAAGTCGTGACAATTGATATACATATTTTGACAATACTAAAAATAAACCAAGGGTTTCGGCAACTAAACCCTTTAAAAGGATACATATAGATTATGCGGGTCAGTTCACAAAAAGGTTAATAGTGGATGCCTATAGTAAATTTCCAATTATTGTTCCTGTCAAAAATTACTAAAAGATATTTTTAAAAAATCTCGCTATTTGGAATACCTGAAACTATAGTCTTTTCGAGAAATTTTGCAACGATTATGGCATAAAACATATACAGACGTCAAAATACCACCAGCAGTCTAATTGCCAGATGGAACGTATGATGAGTACGTTTAAGATGCACCTGAAAAGAAATATAAAGAATAATTTAGATATTTCACTTGATAAATTCTTATTCAATTATATAAACACAAAATGACACAACAGGAGTTGCACCTTCCAAAAGAATGTTTAATCGCGATATTAGAATTCAATGGGATTTATTAAACTGTTAGTGGAAAAGGAACGTTATACTATCACTTAATTGAACCATGAATGTAGGAGATTTTATTTAATATAAAATACAAGATGAAAAATTTAATAAAGGCATTATCACACACAAACAGGTGACATGATGTTCCAAGTTACTACAGATAAAGATATAGTAAGGAAGGAGACAAGACTAGTTATTTTATTAAGAAAATTCATTCCAATTATTCAAATCGAATACAAATAGTAGAAATTTTTATTTAACTGGCCATGTAAAAATTTATTTTAATTCTATTCAATAAAAAATAAATTTGCATATAGTGGTATATCTTCAACAATATAATATCTAGACAGTATAAATATTTTATTTATCTAAAGGTGACATTTTTCGTGTTGTAAGAAAAATATTTATTTGTTTATAAATTTTTAAGATGATCAAATAAAGTTGGAACAAATCCATATTTGAAAGATCTGACCCAGTTTTTTTAAAAATATCCTGATTCCAGTACATCTTCAATCTCAAGTATTAAAAAAGTTACCAAAAGAATTCCAGGTTGAAAGAGAAGGTAATTTTGTTATAATTTTTAGAAATATATAAAACAAAAAATAGTTTTAATAGTAAAACGTCAACTTGCGGATTGAATAGAATTACATTTTTAAATTTTAATTATTTTAAACATAATTATATTAAAAGATTTAAACCATCTATTAATAGATTGGATTAATTTATTATATTATTGAATATATATAGTAATTTAATTTTTATAACTTGTTTATATCATAAGGAAATGATTCTCAGCTCAATTAATAGAATATAAATATAAAATTTTTACCGAATTTGAATTTACCTAAGCATTTGCAGTTTAGTCAAACCGAAAAAAACAATGCCAAACAAATTAAACGTTAAAACATATTTATTGAAATAATAATGATCATTAAATTTAAATATTAATTAGAATAATTGTAATAATAATATATATATTTAAAATAATGATATAGATAACAACAAGATATGGATATTCTAATTTTTTTTGGAGAGAAAAGAGGATCGAATTTCTGAATCTTTCTACCAAAAAAAATTCCACGTGTTCCTGAAACTAGCACACGAAAGAGTTTTTTACAGCTGAATTGACCTTTAATTCAAGGGGAGATGATACATATGTCCGTTAAAATTTGAATAAATTTAATTTCAATGATAACTATAATTTTTTTTTTTTTAAACAAAAACTTTTATTCCAATTTATGATAATAATAATTTTTTATATAATCACAATCTATGTATATTTATCATAATAATAATATATTTAAAAAAAAACAATATTCTAATATTTTATAATAAATCATTTATACAATTTTTACATAACGGAATTTAAGAAAAATATATAATTTAACAATTCTAGAAATTTTAAGAAATTTAACAACCAACGACTTCATAATACAAAGTATAATAATGGGAATATAATTAGTGCAAATGATAATACGAGGAAGAAGGGGGGGGCGGGTAATTTTAAATGATTTAGGGAAGAAGAAGAAAATATAGATTAATCGGGCTCCCCGGGGAATGAACCAAAATATAATTTAATTTATAATTAGCTTTCTATTCAATGAAGATCTAAAAATATGCCGATATAGCTGAAGTGTATATCTTATTTTTATTTTTTCTCAAACCCCGAAAGTTTATTTATAACGGTTCAATATATAAAAATTTATAATGGTTAAAGTTCGGTTTTGTGGTTCTTAAGAAAAAATTATAAACGTTCGGTTCGGCTAATTGTAAAAAGTTTATAAAGGTTCCGGTTATAAAATTATTTTTAATGAATCAACAGCGAAAACAAGTTTTTATTAAAAAATTATCACTTTTGGCTTCGGAGTTTTTCATAAAAAGATAGCAGTTCAAATTTGAATGAAACTAATATAAATTAAAAAACCTTAATGTTAATAAATTTTCTCCAGTAGGCGCATGAAGATTGAGCCGAATTATCGACATTTAGCCATTACCAAATTTTTTAAATTTCATGGTTTGTCTGAGTTAAATCTACCATCACCCCCCCCCCCTTCACTCACTTTCCTATATAATCAAAATACATGAAATTATATGATTCCAATTCTCTTCAGATTCGGTTCAGGCGTTTTATTACTTTTTGTTTGGCAAATTTCATATTTCTGTAAAGTTAATGGAAAAGAAATGATTTCTTATTACTTTACCTTTTTTTTCTTTCTCTCTTCAAAAAAATGTTTGATTTGTAAATTTCATATTTTGTAAAACCTCTATGTTTATAATAAAATGATATCACATACTACGATGGATTAATAATATGAATATTTTATACTATTATAAATTAATTAAAATGTTTGATATTTATTGATCATTTATATACAAATTTTTTTTTAAAAAAACAGAGAAAGCTTGATCAAAATACCACTTTTCAAATAAATTTTAAATGCAAAATATCTGACATATAAAAATTTACACATAATATTATTGTTGGCCAAAGAACATTAGGATGGACTCTACGAAAATAATCGCGAATTAAAAAAAAATAAGTAGATTTTTTTTGCCGAATAATATTAAGAAATTTAAATTTTGTCCAAATTCGCTGGCGAACTATTTTTTATATATATTTATTTTAATGTTCAATTACAGTTCAAATTATGGATTATTTCTTTAAATTTTTATGGGTTCAGATCTAGTTTGAAGATTTTCCAAACCCTGCTCTATTGTCACTATCCAAATTCAATATTTTGAAAATAGATAACAGCACAAAGAAAGATGTGATGAAGAATGCCCTGATTTCAATTTTTACCGAAAATAAGAAAGCAAATTAAAACCAAATAGATAATTAATTTTTGTTTTTAAAAAAAATTCTAAACAAAATTAAGATCACTTTCTAATATATAATTTTTTCATTTTTTGAATCAAAACTTTATTTCGGTAGCCAAAGATATTGTTATTAGAAGAAATTATTTATTCAAATAATCATTAAAAAAAATAACAATATTATAATATAGCTATAATCGATTTCATTTATTAGTGTTTATTTAGTAGTGTTCTCTTCTCTTCTTATATACAATATAACCCAATTTAATTTAAAATCAAGAAATATAGTTAAATTTGCAGTATCTGTGGTGGGTACTAAATTTTTTTTAATATAAAATTTAAATATTTTATAGTATATAATTTAATACATAAATATTTTTTTTCCATTAATAAAAAAAATATGTATTCAAATATAATATTTGCATTTAATCAATTTTTGTATTTTGTTAATCTTTTTTATCCCTCCCCCTCCCTTTCGAAGATAAAATTTAAAATAAATATAAAAAATTAGAATTTTATTTTTATCGCGGTAAAAACGAAGGCGGAGGATTCAAAAATGCCGTATATTGCTTTAGCGCGTTTTGCAAATAACTGCATATTTGGCGGGAATTTGAAAGCATACAATTAACCAATAGCGTATAAATATTAAGAATTCGGTCCCATATCAAGGAATTATCTATGTTATTTTATTTTTAAATTTAAAAAAGATAAATAATTTACGAATATATAAATTTCTTTTGTTTATTTCTAAATTCATTTGTTATATTTATTTTTTTATAAAAAAAATCTCCTGCAAATAAAATAACCAAACTCTGTATTATTTATATATACTTTGCTTATTTGGAAGATCATTTTGTTGTAGAAAAGAAAGTAATTTGGTCAATGTTGTAAGAGTAGATGTAATTTCTATTAACCGAATCCTTTTAAAAGTAGATAAGTTAATTTTTTTAAAAATATATATATTATATCAAAAGAAAGAAAATGTCACAGTTTGTGAACATATAAATTAAATAATACGTTTCTGAAATGTCAATCAATTAATGTATATTTTAATTAGTTGAAAAAACGAATATTTATCATAACCCGCGTTTGTAATATTAAAAAATGTTCTTACCATGAAAATAAATTAATAGAAAATGAATAAAGAAAATTTGAATATATATTCATGATTGACTCTACAAATCATTTAATTAATTAGTAAGAAATGAGGACTTCTACAGAAAGAAAGAATGAAAGAAAGATTAGTAAATAAATGTAAAAATAGATTAAAAAATATAGATATATTTTTTTTGAAAATAATTACTTAGGAAGTGGGTACTTAGCCCAAACTTCCTCGTCTTTCAAATAATTTTTTAGCACGTTTTCGCATCTATCCAATAATAAAAGGATAGGCAAAGTATTAATGTTCGGTGTATATGTATCGAGTATTCGGGGAGACAACGCTAATTTATATATCGAATCCAAACAGGAACCTATAAATTTGTCGTTTATCGTATGAGCAGTCACTAAATTATTTTTATTTTTTGAAATCAGGTTTAAAAAAAACCTATTTAGGTTTCAATAAGTTGAAGCTTATAACCTTACCCTAACTTAAACACCAACTGATCCCGGACTAAGTACTATCCGACCAAACCCGGGTGAGTCAGACCGGCTTTTTGGATAGGACAGGATTCAAATCTCTATAGCAACCAATACAGTGTTGCAAATGTGATTTATATATTTTTTTACTGATATTAGGAAAATTAGTGTGGCTCGTAGTGTGAATATGAGAGCTGAAATGCGTCTTATCGGTTCCAGAACTTTCGTACGAACTGACGTTGTCGACACATCCCTCAACCAATAATTCCAAAAGACCTTTTATGAAATCGGTGGGAAGCGTAACCTCACCACTCACAGGTGTATTATTTAGATGTCGTATTGAATGATCAACATTAGACAATAGATTTGGGAACAAGCATTCTTTCCATATCAAATCGGTCACAGTCTTAATCTTAAGGTCGGAATAAAACTCGAGCTCTTCTCTGACTTTAAAATTTTGCCGAGAGTCATTCAAAATAACCGCCGGAAGTGGACTTTGAGAGTTATACAAATTGTTCGGAGGAAAAGATGCGGATGGAGATGATGGGTGCTCGTCAGAGGAAAAGGATAGTTTCTTATGATGTTGTTGGTTAAAAGGTTTATTCGCATCATCGGTAGAAACGGTCCCGTATAAAATGATTCGCAAAAGGACCAAAAGTTTTTGCAAAATATGTTTCCCTTGGGAATCTGAAAATTTTTTTTAAAAAAAATGTTAAGCCCAGGATTAAAGGTGAAAGTTACAAATTAACCTATAGATAATTAAATAATCAATTGACAAGATTTCTTTTTAGATTCTATCATTAACGAATACGGTAACATAACTAGCGTGGGTCTGCAAATAGCAATTTTCAAGCTCGGCCAGGCTGGAATCTAGATTTTGCCCGGCCCAGCCCGTTTCCAATTTCTTACTAAGGTTGCCGGGGTCACTTTTTAAATACAAGGCCTAATCCGAAATATAAATAGTTGAACACCAAAATAAACAACTATTTATATATTGGAGAGTGGTTAAATTAAAAAACAATACTTTATGGATTGTCACTTCTATCACTTATCCGATTTCATCAATAATCTAACGCACTAATTTTTTGCCCGCCCCAGCCCAAACAAATATTTTTCAGTCCTGGGACGGGAATTGCAGACCGCCTCAACTAAAATATTTTTCAAAACTTTTTTTGGTAATATGGATAGATTGTAAAATTTATTTTTTTATAAAATAAAAAAAGCTATTGTATCTAATAAGCACAAAGTTTTTCGATTTAGGGGTTAGGTCATCACTCAGAAATTTGACGAATGTATCATTTATACATCTTAAATCCTAGGTCTAAAGATTATTTTTATTTTAAAGCTATAAATGTCTTAAGATAAATATCTGTCCATAAAAAGAGGTTTTGAAATAAGATCTTAAATAAAAATTGATATAATATTGAAATTTGGCATACAACATATAACCCGCTTATAATGTTCTCGTTTATAATATTCCATTTCCGGGTTTTTTAAGGTTCCAGTCCGTCGTTTAATAAGCGGGTTTTTACAGTACATACTGTTTAAGGATCATACTTTCGTAGGAAAAATTGTAGAAACGTTTGGAGAAAACCACTCGCGTACTCTCCCATAATGTGACGATAGTCGAACGATTCAAGGAGTATTTGTGACAAAAACCTCGCATCAAATTCTATTTTGTTAAAAAAATAAAATATACTCATCTTTAAATAAACCTAATAAGGTATATTTGTTTTAGAACCATAAGATTTATATTATATTTTAATAAATTTATTAAAATAAAAAAATATATATACCATACATATTTTTTAATAAATAATTTCTTCATATTTTACACATATGATGGTCTTGAGAATTTAGAGAGCCAAGGGACGTTATAAGCTCAATGTATATCCAATGCTAACATTTGTTTTAGATAGTAAGCCTTTTAGTTACACTGTTCTAGGGAGAAAGAATTTTCCTGATACAAGATAGATAAGTGTTGTCAAGCGGCTCAATTTGAGCAGATTTTTAAAAATGGCTAACTCAATATTTAACTAGAAATATATTACGAAAGCCTAAAGATTTAGCTCATAAATGGCACAAAGGTTTAGACATCTGTTAGCGAAATTGCGAGGCTTAGGCAATTGGCAAAAATATTGAGTTAGCAGTTTTTAAAACGGCTCAAATCGAGCCGGTTAACGTGATTATAGGCCACAGGGCTAGTAGTTTGACCTTCTCCCAAAAAAAATTTCTAAAGCAAAGACAGGCTTACTCTCTTAACTTTTGCGATTCCTTGAATAATGAAATTATTAATTTGGCAATTTATGCTAAATTTTAAATAAATAATATAATGTTAATGGAGAAATGCATATATATATATATATGTTTAATATCAAATAAGCATTTATATTATATTTAAATAAATAATTTTATTCAAGAACACATTTCCCATTATTAACAATTTACGTGTAAGATTATCATTATTAGAATAAAAAAAATTATGCATCAAATATTCCAAAATTGGTACTATAAAAATTTTTAAATACAATTAGCCTCTCAGGTAAAAATGAAATAATTTATATAAAAAACAAGCAATCTTATTTTGGCGGACAAGATATATTATAACCATATTTATTTTTTTAAATCAAATAATTATATTCTAAGTGTATGCTCAATAATTTTTATTAAAAAAAATAAACATCAATATGCTTTTCTATATTCATGTATGGTTTGAAATTGTCATTCGTGATGGAGTACAGACGTGTTAAGATATCTATGCATGTCGATCCAAAATTTTCGAGATTTGGTGACTTGGAATCATTCTAAAGCATTGCATGAATTTGAATGAAAATAAATAAAATTTATCAAAATTGAATTTCTATTTGATTCGTGTCATTCATAATTTTATAAATTATCTTACTACCAATTGCAATGATTTAGAAGATGAATAGACGGGGGATAAGAGTAACAAAAAAAATTTTTAAAGGGGGGGGGGGGCTTCGCCTCCAAATTCTGATTTGCCCGGTTTTCGACCGGGCCCCGCTTATGTTATTTTTACGTAATATCTTTATATAATTTGAATGAAAGTTAATCGAACAATTAGAAGCCAAAACTAACATGTGTGCCAAAGTTTCGTGCATGGTTAGTGCCTATGAGCGTTTTTACTATTATAATGGAAATAAATATATTCACAACCAAATATTAGACAATCTTGCTATTAAAAAGCGATTAAAAATATTTATTCTGAAATTTTTATCTTGTCTACTATTTAAATGTATAATATTTTTAAGCAAAATAATTTTAAAAAATTGTCAAAATTTGCATCATAACATATCTGAAAAATATAGAAAAACTAAATATCTGGTTTGGGCTAATATTTAATGCCTGACTGGTACTCACTAATTCCTCAATTATGTTGAGCGAACCACAAAAAAAACTAGTTATAAACAAAATAGAAACTATGACGCCACACTTGACACGTGTAGTGAAACGTCAATCCCATACGAATTATAACGCCTTTTGAAAGCGTTTCAAATTTTTTTTTAATATAAAAAATTTATGAGAACATTTTTTAGAGATAGAAAATTAAAGAGGGAGTTTAATAATTTAAACGAAATAGATACTAATATTAATCAAGAAAACATAAAATTATGTGTAATCACATTTTCCATAGAGAGTTCAAACTCACATTTTTCTCCTCTTTTATTTCTTACCAATTGAAATTAGCATATCAAAAGGAAATGATGAAAATTATCACTCTTACAATAAACCTTTTCAAAGGATTATTATTAATAGCCTTATAAATAAAATCAAGAGTTTATTTTTAATTAATAATTGATTGACATTTTTACCCGTTTTTCGATGTCCCCATTATCACCGAAAGCGAAAATGTTGAGAGAAAATTCTTGCATGTTGAGCACGAAATCTTTGTATACAACCAAGCCTCTTTGCGTTATTGGTTCATTCTGAGATTGGGCTACGATCTAGTGAAAAAAAGAAGCAAAAGAAAATTTAGGAAATTATTAAGAGAAAAAAATGTATAACTACACCCGACTACTCATTGGAGCATTTTTTTTCGGAATCAGCTATATTCCAATAATTTCTAAGTCCCACATTAAATGGATCACTTGAAACATGTTCAAGGGAAGAAGAAATGATTGGTAAAAAAAACATGATTTTTTAATTTTGAATATTTTTTGGCTATATAGACCGGATTAGAATTTATATTTTTTGAAAAAAAGAAACATGTAAAGTCCCAAATTAAGGATTTGCCTAAAGACTAACGTCCAAGTTAAACAATCTGGCCTTAGGCCATCATCGGGTGATAAATTAGCGGCTCCAAGATGTTTAGTATTTGGGTCCTCTAATAATTGAGTTAATAGCTGCATGTCTTGCATAACTATATATATCATTAAGACCAGATCTCATTTGGAATTAACCGATATTTTACATTTTATGCATGGATGTGATTGAATAATGTTACATCCAATTAAGTGGCCCATGGCAACTTAATTTTTCATCTGATATGACCTTGGTTACGACTTGGTAATGCTTCCAACCATTTATAACTACCAGTACAATCAGATTTGGTAATAGTTTTATATATTCCATAGGGGGTTTGGGAGTTATTAAAAAATTTTTTAATTATAAAGGTTCAAAAATTGATTGCGGTGTTAAAACTGAAGGTAAAACAGCAGGTAGAGCTAAAGATGTCCAAATAATATAAAAACAGAAAATATGGGCAATTTGCATACTAAATAAATTATATTAGCCAATTAAAAAACAATCAAAATTTGAAGATAATTCTTTGCCAAATCTACTCAATCCAAAAGATAAATATATAAAATGCATTTTTATAATTATATCAATAAGGCAATTTCAACTATTTTTTTAAAATAATTTGTTCCCTTCATTTATTACTTCAAACACTTCATGAAGAGTTTCAACGGCCTCAGTTTGCAAGAATGGCGTATTGTTATTTGTATTATCGGTGATTAATTTGGAAATGGCTTGATATAAGCTCTGGTCAAAGAGTAGGTCGGCGCATCGGTGGCCGCATGAACAAATTTTTTGAACGATTTTTGGTAAAAGAGAAAGCGAAGGCGGAAACGAGAGGAAACTCATGGATAACCAAGTGCGCCAAAGCTGGGATACACTTAATATTTTTAATGTGCGATATAATTGTAAATATTTCCGCCTTTTTTAATAATAATCCTTTTTAGAGTTATTTTAACTATTAATTATAAAAATATTGATGAAAAAGATATCAAATTACGAAAACGCCCAGTCTTTTCTTTATAAAATAAGTTTGATAAATATTTTTTTAGCCACGTTTTTGCCAACATTTTAACGCTGAATTTACGGCAAATGCCAAAAACGATTCCATTTAACAGCTGATCGCGTTTATAAACATCCTTTAATGAGATCCTTTTTTTCTTCTTCTCTAAGTTAATAATTAAGAGGATAAATCAAGAATCATTATAACAAAGAAAAATTGATAATGAATCATTTTTAGTCTCATCTTAACCTACTTCTTTAGCGCTGCTTTTAAAACGCTCGCACTGCTAAAAGGTGATCTATTATTTTTTTTATGATGAACTTGTTTTAAAAACAGTGTTCAAACAAGTAAGGACGAGACCCTAATCAACTGTCAAATGAAGTCGCTCTTTAAATATTTAGCCTAGCGCAGTGGTTAGTAATAAAAAATGATAAAAATAAGTTATTTTAGCACGCATAATTCATAAAAGAACGCCCATGTTTAAATCACAAATTATGAATGAAAGAAAAAAAGAAACCTTTTGACTAAATAGTCATCTAAGTTTTTATCCTCCGTTTTAGAATATATTTCATTCAAATTCAACTCCGACATCTCCTTAAAACATTTGATAGCGGCTAAAGATATCTCGCTCGACTCAGTAGATAAGACGCAATTTTCTATATAGAGCATGACCCAGCACCAGGATTCATAAAAATCTAATTATTGAATGTTTTTTTGATATATAAATATTAGAAAAATATTTTCTCAAGCTTAACACAAGTAGACGCTTCTACTCCCCCCCCCCATATGACAATGACGAAAATTTTTAGCAAAAAAAACAAATCATCAAAATTAGAAAGAAATGGAAAAGGAAATCCATATTAGCAAGACATATCTCTTACCTCCTTCTACCCCTGTCAATGAGGATCTCGCGTCATAACCCCCCACCCGTGGTAGAAGTAAGTCATAATGACGTAATAATACATGTTTTTAATAAATTTTTCTATAATTATCACTCATACTTCAGACACAAATATTTTATTATTTTTTCTTTATATTATTCCCCATTTTTCAGGTATTCCTAAGCAAAGTTGGTTGATATTATAGTCAAATAACCTATAGCATCCAAAGCAATATGGCGATTGGTAAATATACGGGCAAGACCCTCTAGGGCCATAGTCTGAGTCTCTGACCATTGCTTTATGGGCGTATCTCGCGAATGATGGATCAATAAGGAGGGATTATTTTTCCTCAACAAATTTTGGGATTTTTGAGTGGAAGCGTTAATAGCGTTTATTCTCACGTGATCTAACAAGGGAAAAAGAATCTACGTGAATAAAATATTAAAATAATTTACGCACAGCCGAAGTCTTTCAAAAAATGTAATTTTACTCTTCGATTTTATGATTTACCATTAAAATAACTTATAATTCCAATAAGGTGAAAATCTTTAAATCTACCTTTTTATGCTCAATAAAATTCGAAAGCTCATTTTAAAACGTTATGTTGGTCAATGGTCAATTTAAAAAAAGGAATAAATAAACAAGTTGCTTTTAATTTCGTATTTTCTCGCGATGTTTTATATATACTTTACCTTCCGGATAAAGATCCGACTAGAATCTGGGCCCAATAATAAACCATGCGCTTCCAAAGTTGAGAAAAGAGTTTGGCATGCACTCTTTCTGACAGAGGGCCTGTGATCTAAACAAGAACACGCCAATTTGGAATACAGACACATCCAAATCGTGTTGGGAGTATAATCGATATCGTTATCCGTGTTCATCTCATTTTTGGATATCGGATTTAAATCCATGTTCTTTATATTTGGATGTATTTGGTCGCTATCCACTTTAAAGTAGGATTCCAAAGTGTTTGAATGAATCAAGTCATTTTCATCGTGTTGGAGTTTGTAATATAGTTTTTCGTAATTTTGGTGCAGGTAGTCTGATATATTCCACTGTTTTTAAAAAAATATTTATAAGTAAAGTGAGTATTTAAAATTTTAAAAGTAACATTTAAGATTTAATATGAAACCCAGGCTGAAGTTAATTTCAATAATAATAATTGACCCTCAACTTTAAGAATTATGAGACATCATTGTTAAGTTAATATTTAATAAATTTATGAATATCGAGCTTACAAATATATCTGGCAATCATAAAATGCATTAATAATATTAATAGTATAATCCCGGTCGAATTTTATATTTTAAAAATGTAAAATATGAAAAAAAAGGTTGATAAAATTAACATATTGAAGTATTTACTGGAAAAAGAACTTGTTTCAATGATCCTAATCCAAATTCAATTATATCACTATAAAGATATAATAAATGGCAACATTTTTTATAACTGCGTTGATCTATTCCAAGGAAAACCCGGGGGTGGATATTGCCTCTTGTTTCTCTGATCCGAGTATTGCTGGTCTTAAAGAGTCGAAGACATTTATGTACTGGTTATTCTAAACCGCAATCAATACATCTTGATCCAGAATCCCTCTATTGTTTTTCCATTATAATATATGGTAATTTCTTGAAGCCCGCTTTGCAGAAATATTTAAGTTTTTTATATGCATCCTGAACGTCATTTTCTTTTGTATCATTATCAATTTCATTTTTTGCTACAAAGATCCGGTTGTTGCTTCTTAATAATCTTTGAACTACTTTCCAAAGATTACTATCCAAGTTTATGTTTTATCGGAGTTCAGTGATTTTATCTCTACCGACATCCATTCTTTCCTCAAGTGATTGTTGTCGGTCGTTTAAAAGGCCATTGCCTCCTTTATATCCTTCTTAAACATTATTTAGCTTTACTTAACCGATATCTAAAAAATAAGACTCATTTTAATCTCAGATATTAAAGATTATTTAGATTCCTCTTCTAAGCGGTACTGCTAGCAAATTAGAATGACCTTCCCGATAAATTCTTAATTACAACATCTGCTTTAAGCATTTTGTGGTCAGATATCCTTAAGTTAGTCATAGCTTTTACGTCGTGAACAAATATAGAAAAAAGAATAGCTATATTAATCACACTCTTGCATTATTATTTCTAAAGCCAGGATTGGTTCCAAGAACATTTTTTTGGCCTGTATGCACATATATATTTTGGAAATAAATGGGGGGGGGGATAGATATAACTATAAGATCCTTTAGCATTACTATAAATATTTTAGACACAATTTAAGTGAGAGTAGTGTTATTAAGCCGCTTGATTTGAGGTGATTTTTAAAAATGGCTAACTCAATAATTTAACCAGAAAAAAATGTTGTCCAAATCTTGAGTGGCTAATAGATGTTTAAACCTTTGTGCCATATATGAGTAAAATCTTCAGGCTTGAGTAATATTCTCGAGAGTTAGCCGTTATTAATCGACTCAGCTAGTAATTCCCAGTTTTGCGAAATCAAAATAATATGTTCTACTCTAATGGTTTCCTGATATAGCTTAAACTAGTAAAAATGATGGCACTTGGATGGAAGGCTGTTGGGTGTTCTGTTATATTATCTAAACCCGGAGTTTTATGCTTCTTCAACTTTTTTTTATCATGATTATTAAGTAAAATTTCCATTAACACTATCTGTGCATGGTGGATTTCGAAAATGTTTTCCTATCCTATTAATGTACAAATCAGTAACTGTTCATTCTTTCGGAAAATTATACACATTTTTTTATGCTTAATACAATATTCTTTTCTGCTTTCTTTCTTTCTAATAGTTTTTTTTTTCATTTTCTTTTATTTATTTATAACTAATATCATGTAAAATGAAAATATATCAAATATTAATATAATGTCTAAAATTTGACAAATGTATACATGGTATCATAAGCCAATCATCATCATCACCATGGATGATAAACGGCTTATCTAAAGCTTGGTAGTAATTTAAATTATCTACTAATTTAATAAATTGAAAAAATAATTCGGCATTAATCAACGTTGTGGTGTCCTAAAGCTATTTCCAAAAATCGACACTCGGATAAATATAATGGGAAATAATCTAGCTTAAATACAAACATCATAATTTGAGTTTTTATTTTTATAAAAAAAAATTTATATTTTTTAAAAATATCATATTAAAAAGATTATCAGTATGCATATTCTTTTAATAATAATTAGTGAGATAGCAAAGAAAATAGTTATATCTGAAATAAAAAAAATCTAAATTACAATTTACAGCATATACAACTCAAGTGAAATATAATGGCAATACAAAAATTAGAGGTTGTGATCTCGAAAGCAGGAAAAATGCTTTGATGGGAAGATCATTGATCAATGTTTTCAAAAATATTTTAAATAAATTTGTTGGAAAAATAGATAAGAATTATGATGATAAAATAAAAAACTTATAAAAAATTAAAATCAAAAATGAACAACAAAACTATAAATTAAGCTAATATTAAACTCTATTTGAAAAAAAGATGACTAAGATAATATCACCATATTGGGTAAAGAACTAATAGATGGATATAAGATAATTTCATCGAGCCGGTAAAAGATGTTGGATGGGCAAGTCCGATAGCTGCTGTTTATAAAGAGAATGGTAGCTTAAGGCTATGTACCGATTTTAAAGATACATCAATAAAGCTTTAGAAAATTAATGCAATAAGGTGTAGTAATCGGAAATATTTGTGAAAAATATTTTAGCCGGTATCTAGATTTTTGGTTTTGGAGGGATTTGTTCCCTTACCCCACCCCCCGCTGTGTACGCGCCTGATTTTTACATTTTTAAACTTTATATATTATTGCGTTATTCAATTTATATTGATAATATATTATAGTGAAAAGGAAAAATGGTACATATAATATAATTATAAACTTGAATTTACTGATAGATAATTAAATTTAATAAAATTGATTTTTTTACATTTAAATAATAAGCTTTACAAATAAAGTCCTAACAAATCAAGTATCAGATTTCATCAATCCTAGAATTACAATATCTTCGGCCTTTGAACAAAAAAAAAGAACTTTAATTGATATAACTTAATTGAACTTTCCTTCTTTCTTTCTTTTTTGTTCTTACCTGTCCAAATAATATTTTAAAAATAAACTTACCAGTAAGCCTATTGATGTCAACGAGATATTTAAATGAACTTCTTGAGCCGAATATTTGGACACAACTGATATACAATTCTTAAGACAATTCGCTGAAAAATGAGGCAAAAAATCGTTAATCAGTAGGCATAGACATTGAAACGCTGTAGATATGCAATTAGATGAATTGATATTGTTGTCAGATGCTTGGAGTTTGGTTTTTAATTGTTAAAAAAAATGTAAATAAAATGGGGATGTAATGAATATATATGGGGTTGTAATTTGGGTCCAGTTTGTAACTTGGACAAAAATGGCTTCAACTTCCAGTTCTGAATATTTTAAAAAAAAATTATGGTGTTCCTATAAAATTATAAAATAATTTTTTTTGATATGGGTATCAAATAAAAGCTAATTAAAAAAGTCCTACTTCCGGTTTAAATCTTTAACTGAAACTATCAAATATAGCAAAAAAAGTTTTGAAGGTCAAATCTGAATAAATAAAAATTGATTAGTTTTTATTTTAGGCCTCCTAAACTAAAATGTCTTGTGACCATTTATATGAGAGGAGGGAGGAGGGGGAGGACACGACCCGCGATAGTAAATTTTAAGTGGTAATAGTGGGTATTTCGATTTTGTTCGAATTTCTGACGCGGTTGCGCGGACATTTACTGGTAACATATATAGTATAGTTGTTTTTGTCCGGAGTGATAGTTTATAAAAAATAGAGATAATATATTGCACATTTTTCAATTTACATATATTCAAGAAAGGTATAAGTGGAAATACAATAAATATCAGCTATATTAACTTTATCCACGATTAATTCAATTTCCAAACATCTTTATTTAAGTTTCTTACCGCCAGGTTAATTTATATTTTTTTTAAAACAACTTATGTCAGTAGTCTAGAAGATTGCAATAAAAATCTTTGATATTCTATATACGAGAATAGAGTGTTAGTATATCTATCATATTGGGATATTAATAACCCTTAGGGGGAGTAAAAATATTTGAATTTTATCTCATTTACTGAGGGAGATTTCTAAATTTTTAAAAATCTGATATGACCAGAAATGCATCCAGTATGTGTTAGGGCACCTACCCTGTAAATTTTGGACAATTTTCGCCATCATAAACATTTTGAAAAATTTATATGAAAAATGATAGAAGTAGAAAATACTCCATAAATATCTAAGTCAAATCGTCCAAAATTCACGGCGTGGATGCTCTAATATGTCGGAATACATCTCCTATCATATCAAATTTTTAAAATTATTATTCGTCCTCAGTAAAATGATTTTAAAATTGAGAGATTCAGAATCCCAATTTATTTCATATCCCAATCAATGATGTAGGGCATAAAAACTTTGTAAGAAATCTTTAAAATAAGAGGCTGGGAGTAATATATATTTTTATTAGTTAGTTTATTTTATTCTGTTATACCATTGACATTTTTCCCGTAATGTGATTATTAAAAATCGGATGATAGGCTTCTACAAGGCTGTATTGGTATGCCTGTAAACCTTACGTTTTTAATTCTTAGTATTTTAATTTAAAATATAAAGATTTACAATCAAATTTATATTCCTCTATTAAGTTCATATTTTTAACTTTCTTTTAATTTGTAAAAAGTTTCGCATGAGATATTAATAATTTTCTTTTGTTTATAAAAAAACAACCTTTCATATGATCTACGAGAATGTCGTCTCCTATTTTAACATCTTTTTTCGATGGTGGTGATTGAACGTTAATAGTTTGATTGTCAGCAACAGATCCGAGCGTATTAATTAGACTAGATAAACAATCAATACTCTCGTTTCGACCCAAAGAATGTTCGTCTTGACAGCTCATCGCGTTACTGACGGTACTAAATCGGGTATTCGAATTGAGTATGATAGATTTCCCCTTTTCTCTTAAAAGTGACAGTAGAGCGCTTAAATGGGATATTTTGAGTTCGGAGAGTTTGTTGGGACATTTGGCGATAACGCTTAGCAAAGGGCTGAATATAGCAAGAATCGATACTTGAGCATCGCATCGCGAATTATCGAAGCTTGGCTATTAAAATATTAAGAAGAATTCACTTATCAAATTTTAAATAAAAATTAAACAAATTTTAAAATATTTATATGATTTGTAGTAGATGTATCGCATTCAATGAGTAACACTCTTATAATATTCATAATATTTGACTTAAAATTAATAGCTTTAGGGGGGGGGGATCAAAGCTGGAGAGGCATAATACACTGGTTTGAAACAATATCTGGGTTTTTGATTATTCCATTAGAAACACAAATATAAGGGGGATACGATATTATACCGGTAAAATTGTTTAAATCTCTCAAGTTATCGAAAAAAAAGTAATAAATAAAATCCTTATTTTACACTGTGGTCATCATTCTTTTTTTCCTGGTTTTCAAAATCCAATAATTTCTTGTCCAAAGCGAATCTAATCAGTAATATCAAATTTTCGTCGCAAAATTCTTTGATTTTCATGTTTTCGTGATTCCCGATTTCGTCAATTATGACATCGTCGCAAATATATGACTGAACCACCGCCTGCCAGTATAGAGATGCTCTGAAGGTATTGAGGTGGGCTACTTCGAAAAGTTTTGAGAGCGGGAATAATGAGGGCATATGGGTCGGCTCCTATTTTTTTTATTATAAAACAAATAAAAGTTGTTTATAAAATATTCAGTATATACAAGATATAAAAAAAATATTATAAATAAAAGTGGGAAAATCATCCAAATTGTAAAAAGTGACTTGTAATCGAATGATTTGGTTATTTTTAAGATTGCTACAATCAAACGGAGTAATGTATATTAAAATGGCTTAATAAATAATATTATATTATGTTTAATATATGCCAAGAATAATGTTTCTAAGTATTAATATTAAAAATGTAAACACAAAAATAAATTGCGCAATTAATTTAGGTATATATTAACATTTTAAGACTTTCTATAAATATAAAAGTTGAGATAACTTTATATGTCGTGGTATATTCTGCAACCTGCTCGGAGAGTTCAATTAGAGCATCAAACAAATTCAGAAGATTTTTTTCAGAATAATTCCTAAAAATGAATAATATATATATAGATAATAATACTTTTATAAAACATATTTAGAAAAAGTTAGTGTATAATTTAAAGTCAATTATATATATACAAGGAATTTTCGAATAAATTCGTCAGTAGATTCTGAATCCTCGAAGAAAATGGATAATTTGATTGAGTGGTAGCCACATCTTGAGTACCACCATTCGCGGTATTAAATCCAATTTTATTATTATTAGATTTAACGTTATTTTCTCCGTTAGTGACCGGAGTCGATACTTTTTGGGGTTGGAGCGTCGATTTAGGGGCTCCTTTATTGTCGTAATAGACCCTGTGGTAAACGGGAAGCTTGAATCCCATGATCAATGTGATGTGCTAAGAGTTATTTTTTATGTGTAAAAAAATCAGCGGGATGGACAAAATTGTGCAGTAATAGCAGGGGGGTAGAAAAAGGATGCTCATCTATCCTAAATTTACTTAAAGAAAGAGTGAAAAGAAAGAATAGAAAAGATATAATAAAGTTTTAGAACATGGACTTAAAAGGGTTTCGGTTTTAAATCATTAAAAAAAATGACATACAGGTTTTTAATATATTTTAATTACTAGTTCTTCCGGTTCCTAGATTTCCCGTTACTTGAGTTCCAGATTTTGGTTCCAAACTTTGTCATATGCAAAGTTTGGAAAAAAACTTAAAAGATATTTTAAAGATTTTTTTCGCCAAAAATTTAAAAAATTTTTGAAAATCAGAATTAATTTTTTTTTTAAAAAAAATGTAATTTCAATCATGAAAGATTTTTTATGCATAAATAATCAATAAAAGATAATTTACAAAAATTTTTTTTATCAAGAATCCTGTTTTTTTAAAAAAATCCTTCAGAGATAAATAATATTTGAAGAATTTTTTTAATTTGAAGAACATTTGGAAACAGTGATTCATATGGGAATAAATTCTTTTTTTTAAATAAACACCCATTAAAATGAGTTATACAGTTCCCTGGGAATTTTTAATTTTTATAAAAAATGGGGGGGGGGGGGGCTGGTACATATTTGTCCCGGTTACTAGAGATCTAGTTCTAAGATAATTTATAATTATAAATATACTTACGTGTATAGTGGCTAACATGATTTTCCAAGTCGAGCAAAGCATCTTGCCATCTTCGCGAATCAATTCAAGTAAAGCTATAAAGCATCTCTCGCTTTTATGACTAAACTGAAAAAATCGTTATATAATTGTTTTGATAAATAAACGAAAATTATTACAAAAGTAAAAAGTTTTAAATATATTTTTGCTCTTTAATAAAATAAAATTTGCGATTCATCATTATAAAAGAAAAGATTTTTTTAAGAAAATAAGTAAGAATCAGAGACCTGCTAACGAAATTGTAAGCTCGGACTGGATTTTTTAAAAATTCGCAATTTCAAGTCTAGACCGGATTTTAAAAAAAATTTCAAGACAGGATCGGATTTGAAATATAGCATTTTCAATCCCGGTTCGGGATTTTTCAAATTTCATAATTTTAAATAATTTCGGCCTTAAGTTTGCAAATTGTTTCATAAAATTGAAAATATGAGTCGTAAATGAATATTCAACGAATTTTCCCAACGATTAATTTAATTTTTTTTGGATTTTCAAGCCCGTCCTTGATTTGTCTCATCATTTTTTCAAGGTTTGCCTTCTCTGGTGGGAAATGATAAAAAATATGTTAAGAAGCGTGGTTAGATTGATCATTGGAATATAGTGAATTAAGGATTGAATATATTGGATTAATTAATTTTAATTCTTCTTCATTTTTTAATTTATATTATTTCTAATATAGGTTATTTTCTTTCTTTCTGTAAAAATTTATATATCGAGAACACGCCTAAATTAAATTAGAGTTATAAGACTAAAATATTTATTTATATACGAAAAATATTTGTTTAGCGCGCCCAAAATAAGGATAGCGCCATTCGCTGTTACTTGAGTAATGATTATATTATAATTACTTGTTTACTATGTCATTAATTATTTGACTCTATAAATATCACCAAAAAGCGAATTATTCGAACCATAATCTTTTAGAGAATTCAACTCATTATATATACTGTTAATAAATATGTTAAGTATTAAAAATTACGGAGAATGTGGTAATAGCGCGATGGTCCTTGAGAGCAATATTTTCGTTCTTATTTTCCAAAATAGGGGAACCGTTTGTTTCGTCTAAAATAAAACAAATTTTAATGATGTTTTTAAAGGCAGGAATATGTTGGGGAAGGTAAAAAAAATCAAAAGATGAAGGATAACTAAAACGAAATATATATATTAAAACACATGGTTAGATATTTTTATATTTTTATACTGTGTTTTTATTTATCGGTCATCTTATAAAATAATGATTTTTGGTTATTAAATTTTAACGAAAAAAGGAAAATTGTGATCTTAAATCTTTAAATAAATTACATTATTTATTCCAGAAAGAGGAATTACCTTGACAGAGAATTTGTTTTATGTAAGGATAATGATTAGGTAGAGAGGCCTTGCAAAGTGACGTAATAAATGCCATTTTGGGATCTGATAGGTCACATAGACCGCAAATCTTAATCATCTTGTTCATACTATTAGTCAACGAATCTATCAATATTTGGCTTTGGCTTTACCGGAAAATAAATATATAATGTAAGTAATGTTAGAAAATAAAAGAACTTAGTTATTATTTATTTGCACGGTTCACACGCGCAGTCATTTCCTATCGCGATATGAATGTTTCACTTAAATTTACCTAATTTTACATTATGAGTTATTAGTAAATAAAACTCGTTTAACTACTACCAATAATAAAGGAAGCCTTTAGAAATCCTCCGCTATTAAAGTCAATTATATTGATGGTACGCAGGTAAGTAATATTAATGTCACTTGCTACATTCCCCTCCGATTTGCGAATGATCAGATTTCCTTTAGTAGCTGGCGTGCCCCTTTTTACTGCTGCCATTAAACCCGTTGCTGAAATTAGACTACTGTTTCCAACGAATCCGTTAAAGTTTCTTCGCCATCAAATCTATAGTAGCAGGTTTTGCCACTGATATCGAAACATCGAATGCATTTGACTAATACTAGCTTTCACGTAAAATAACTCCCCGATAAAAGTCATGTATGCGAAAATTAAGACCGTTCTGAATTGGATTTGACCAAATGTTTATAAAGAGAGCCAAAGATATTCATTCTCAGGTTCGAGAATATTTAATATGGCATAGCTAGCGTGTGTGCTTAACGCATCATCTGAAGGCGATGAAGAAATGAAACCGTTAAAGTCTGTTTAAGTTTGGTAGATAGTCAAGACCAAATAGCGTTCAATTGAAAAAGCTATTGTGAAATATATTCATAAAAGTAATTGACTTAACTAAAATAGAGCATACTGAAAATAAGAATATTAGATGGATGGTATAGGGTTTGAAAGATTGAGTTGAAAATATGGGTGTTGTACCAATTGCAGGCTTATTAAGCACGCATAAACTTAGGGGCAGACCATGTCTATCGTAAGATAGATACGAACTGAGTTTAAAAAAAATAACAATGTTGGAATAGGCGGTAAGAGGTCTAGAAAAAAAGCCTTAAACAAAATTGAGCAGTATTTATTCAAAACAACCTATAACAGAATCGATGGAAATGTTAATATTTACCAGATTCGATGACTAATCATCTACAAAAGATTCAATAGAGGTAAAACCATCCTTAACAAGTTGTTATTAACAGCTAACGGAGTTAGTTCAACAACGGGTTTCACAGCGATAGCGGAAGGCGAAATAACAGATACTATAGGAAATAGAATCATCTTTAAATGTGAGTAAATTGTATTATTTTATTATCATAATATATATGCTTGCTAAAAAAAACTAGTAATACTAAGCAGATGTAAAATGACTTAATACCTATACCCCAGTTGGCATTTTTCTTAGAGACCTGCAAAAGAAGTCTTTTTTTAATATAAGGCCTGGCGAAATCCAAAAAAAAATCATCTCAGCAATTTTATTTTTGGCTAGATTTAGGGTTTTCAGTGTTCAAATTTTATATTAAAAATAAAATTGTTGGAGGGAGGGGGGGGGGGTGAATATAACGAAACGATAAATTTATTAATTATTACGTGGCGTCGAGCAAAATCGTTAAGGACGATAAAATCTGCAGCCAAGAGTATTGGATCAATTTCAGGGATATTTCTAAAAAAAAAATTATTATTATTTAAGGATTTTTAAAAAAATTAATCAAATGCTATCCTCATCAATCATTTTGTCCTTCCAACGAAAATGTCCAGAACAATAATAAGAAAAAAAATGTCTCATTTAGAGTTGAATATGGATACCGGACATTTTGTTCAAAGACATTATGTCACCACACATTATTCTTATGTTGTAGATATATCGATTTCTTAGTTACATATTGTACTTTTTCAAAAACATGGTGAACTCCTTTTTCAAAAAAAAATAACATAATAACTGGAAAGAAAAAGAACATCATGTATTTGAAAAAAAGGACATTCTGATAAAAAGCTAAATAAATTGATTAATAAATGTGACTTCAAAAAATGATTTTTTTGTGAAATGAAAATCGAAAAAAAAATATATGGATATGGCTAAAAATTTCTTTAAAAACGTCGGCTGCCAAATCAGGAAAAATTCCGGGGAACCCCGTAAAGGATTTACTTAAGAAAAGGATAGCAATAGCCATTCTTAAGGCAAATTACGTATGTTATATTTCGATCTCTCCTGGTGATTATTATTAAATTTCCTCTCATAACATAATAAATTATAATAACAAGAAATTTGGATTTAATAACATTGTTATCATTATATAAATTTTATGAAATATTTAAATATCTTATATATTTTTTTTCCTTTTCAAACCATCGATTTTTGAAGGTATTTGGGTGGAGCTTTGAACGATGTGTAAAGTCAATGTATCCACCAAATCCAATAAACATACGTGCAACAAAGTGATCAGATATTTTTCTGAAATAGCAGGTGCTTCGTCTTTATCTAACATTTCGAAACTTGATTCAAAAAAATTGCATCATATAAGGTATTGCTCGTAATATTTTAGGCATCATAATTTAAGAAATTGTATTTAAATTGGATAAAAATTGGCTTTATTTGAGCCTTACTAAACTTTAATGTCTATAATAAAATTCACTTTTAAATTTAATATTTTGTATTTCATATGAAAGAATTTTTTTTAAAAAGAAAAAGGGTATATATAAATATCAGAGACCTGTAGAGGCCCTGTCCGACCAGTATACCCGGGCTGGGCCTAAAAATTTTTTCAAAAATACCAGGGTCGGGCTGGACCTAAATATTTTTTTAAAAAAATGCCCAGGCAGGGCCATATATTTTAAAACCAAATATTTTAAATCGCCATTATGGCTAAAAAAATTTAAAATAAATGTAATATAATTTTTTTTTAAATCCGGGTCGGGTCTGATATAAAATCTGGGCCGATAAATTCTTTTATAAAATCCGGGCCGGACCATACAAATGATACCTCTGCAGGTCTCTGATATAATTAATATATATATCGTCTGCTGAGTATTATAATGCTTTATATCAATTTTTAAATTTTTTCAGGGTGTATTTTAAATAGAAGTTTACAACTATATAATATAGCAAAGGTATAATTATTCCAAAATTATATTTTAATATTTTCATTGGTTGATATGGAAGACCACTGTACTGAAGAGAATTTATTTATCAAAGAAAAATTTTTTTTAATTATTATATATATATAGTAATCAAGTCATATTATAACTCTTGTTTCTAGTTTACATTTTTCTCCCCTTCTGAATAAATACTCCCGAAAAATTTTAAATGTTCCATCAAAATAAAAAACACATAAAAAAATGAAGCTTACTATAAAGGTTTAAATTGTTTAGGGGAGATGAAAGTGGATAATTGAACAACTTTATCATGGATATAAAACGCGATATCGAGGCTAGGCGATTGAGGGTTATTGACATGAGTAGAAGTATTATTAACACCTGAAATTTTTTTTAATTAAAAAGAAGAGAAGTATAATTATCTTCTATGTTTTAAAAAATGAGATAAAGGGATCTATCTATCTTTCTTTCTTTTATTCATTCTTTTCTAACAAAAAAAAAAGATATTTTAAAAAAGGGGTAAAAAAATAAGAACACCTATAATTTCCCGTTTATCGTCGGTTTCCAGAAATTCGGTTCTGATATTGTTTTGAAGGGTGTCAATCAACATATGGTAAATTTTTGAGGAATGCGATTTCAAATCATAATTTCTGCATATGGACCTAATATTATGCAGTTACAATTTATTTATTTTTTTATAAATAAAAATATTTTGATTTGAATAAACGAATTGTTCAGCCAAATTAGTCAAGTTCTAACTCTACCAAGTTTAACAATGCACGAATTCATAAAGTTGGGTGGGAGATAAGAAAAGATGCGAATTTGACATATGAGTAAAAACTATCTAAACAAATAGTATTTTCGCGGTTTCATGTTATTAATATTTCTATACATTTTACTTTTTAGACTGATCGTCTATTTAGTATAGTATTTTTTTTAAAAATATAAAACTAAAGTTCAATGAAGAGAACTAAATTTAATGCCGTGTCGTAGTTCGCCTTAATTCTAAAGGGTAGGCTGTTTTAGCCGTCTATATTAGTTTCCTCAAAACAGCCAAAAAGAAGAAGACTAGATTTAAATATAAACGTATCTTTGTAATTCCTTCCAACCCCTAAAAAAATTCTTTTAATGTACACACTTAAAACAAACCAAAATAGGATGTCCTAGTTAAAAATTTGTTCAGCCTAAGTTTCAAAAATAAGATGAACCAGAACACGGTTTAAAGGATTAAACATGCCTAGATAATAATTTTCAAAAAAAAAAATTAATAGTTGGCCTGGTCTACAGTCTTAGCGTTTCAATATAAATTTTATAATATAAAAAAAAAATTTTTAGTGAATATCAGCTGATTCATTTATACGTTTATTTTGCATTATCATAATTATTATAGATAAGTAAAGATATTAAAAAATATAAAACCTTAAGATATCGATCTTCAAAAACAATTTATACAACGTTTCGAGAGTGATGACCCTCAGCCATAAAGGTTTTTCGGGATCGGTAAATTTCAGGAGCATAGAAATAAAGATTTCGCATTCCATAATCTACAACAAAAAAATGGCAGTTTTTAATTAATTCATTTCTTTTAAATGCCGAAGGAAAATAGAAATTTTAATGTAAGGTTGGCCGCAAGCTAGGCGATATTCAAAAAAAAAATTGCGACAACTCATTTTTTGCGATTATTGAGCATCAATAAAAAATATGTGCAATTTATAAGACCCCAAATCTTAACATGGGAGAAAAAAAATAGCGAAATAACAAGCTTAGCGCGTGCGTAGTCGCAACCAAACTGATGCGAATTTTTTATTTTTTATAATGATCAAACAATCAAAAAGATGATTTCTTTGCGTAAAAATTTTTGATATATTTTTTTTTAAATATATCTCAAATTTTGTAAATAATATTAGATTATATTTAAAAAAATGGTGACCCTGGAATAAATGTCGCATTGTGATTCGGAATCTCTTATTTTAAACGTTTACTGAGCACTGTTTTAATTTTAAAAATTCTGATTTGATCGAAAATATATTCCAACATGTAGAGAGCACCCACATTGTAAATTTTAGACAATGTTCTAGAACTTTTGAAGTATTCTTAAATTATATCAATTTTTGTAAAAAATTTTAAAAAAATACACAAACTGATTTGACCGGAAATGTATTCCAACATGTATAGAGAATCCACACTATAAATTTCAGACAGATGTTCTAGAACTTTTGAAGCATTCTTAATTTATATCAATTTTTATATAGATTTTTCAAATAAATTTTAAAAAAGATGCAAAAATTTTATTGCGAAAATCTGAAATTAATAGAATATATATTCTACTCGTGCTAGAATATATTTGCGGTTCTAATTTTTCAAATTCAAAAATCTCCCTCCGTAATGGTACAAAATTGAGAGATCCCAAAATCTGACCCGATATGGCATGTACATTATATATCAAAGTTTTAAAAAAATACAAGAGATATGAGACTCATGTCAAACTAAAACAAGAGCAATCTGCCATCGCTAATCATCCGAAACATAATGTTAAGCCTAAAAATTATATATAATTCTTAGATGTTGTGAAATAAGTTTGAAATGGGAATGACAAAGACTATATTTTCTTAAATAATAAAAGATAAGAATGAAACATATTAATCTCGCATATTATTTTTAAAAAATACTTTTCGAGAAATATCAGATGTTAAAAAAAAATTTTTCTTAAAAGTAGTTAACGTCAATAAGGCAAAAATTTAATAAGAATTTTTGCTATTACGCCTAAATTAATTTGTTTGTGTTGACGGGCGAAATCAAAATATGGTCAGTTAAGGTGAGCCTAAATAATATGATTTTTTTTAAAAAAAAATTCTTACCCCTCATTCATTAGTTAGCATGATCTATACAAAATATGCTATATTTTTGTATTCTCTGCCACAAATTTGCGCTCTGCAAGTGGTTATCTGAAATCACAGTTTACACGAATCCACGGCGAAGTATACAAAATATACTGTATTTTTGTGTATGTTTATATATTTAACTGCGAATTCGCGCTAACTGTGAATGCAGAGTTAGCCATATTAAATTGTATTAAAATCCTGGATATACTCCGTGGTCCTAATAACCCAATGTATCACCAAAAGAGATACCACTGCGAAATATATAAATATTAAAAATAACGTCATTTGATAACGTAAAATTTTTCAATCACTTAAAGTGTCAAGAGAAACCTTCTACTATATATTGGATCATATCAAACAAACAGTGAAAATGGTAACTTAAACACCTAAATTTTAGCGAAAATAGAATATTCTTAATTTTAGAAAAAAATTAGTTGTTTATTGGCCTATTATTTATTTAAAATGCCGGAGTTCATTTTAAGCAATTAGCCTTCGTTGATAATTATTATAAGGGATAATTCACTCCGGAGACTATTGAAGTCTACGTTGCGAGGTCTGCAATTGCTGGGCCGGGTAAGACGGGATAATTTTTATTCGGGCTGGGTAGGGTAAAAAAATTATTGAGCTGGATCATTGATGAATTCTGATATGTGATAGAAGAGATAATCTATAAAGTGTAATGTTTTTTTAATTTAACTACTCCCCAATAATATAAATAGTTGTTATTTGGTGTTCAACTATATATTTCAGGTTATAGTCTTGTGTATAAAAAAAGCGGGCCAGACAACCTTAGTTTGGAAACGAGTTGGGCAAAAGCTAAATTCCAGCCGACCGGGGCGGGGTCTAAAATTTTGCCACGCAGACCTATAGTAGAAGGAAGAGGTTACGAAGGTTTCAACTTAAAGCGTTGCGTCGACTACACTTTTTGGTCTAGATTAGCGATTGTGAAAATGTTAAAAATTCTTAAAAAATTAAATTTCTAGGTGTCCACTTTTTTAATGATAAAGTAAAAATAGTAAAAATAGCAAAAACAAGATATTACTAGATCTTAGAAAGATTATTTTGGGAAAATAATATTTCAGATTTCAATATTACTAAATAATCGTGAAAGCGGTCTATTATGACGCTAACTATACGCAACAAACGTAAATTGATAGGAAACAAAGGTTTTTCGATAGAGTTGTTGCCATTATGACCCGCTACGCCTGGACTAGTGGCTATCGTGTGACGATTATTATTGTATTTTACGTTCGGGCTAAAAAGTTTTATGATCAAAGGACATACTTGGTCTTTTAAGAGTGAGTGGAATTGAGGTATCTATATATGGTGTCCAATAATTTTTAATTTTCTTAAAATATATTATGAGTGACATATTCATATTATTGTACTAATTACTAACCAAAGTCTTTTTAGACTAGTACCATACCAGAACGTTCTAGAATTTGAGCATCTTTACTAAAAAGGTAGCCAGTCAAAAATTAGAGATAAATCAATATTTTTACTGATGTTAAAATGACCTAGTTATAAATGTGATCTCAGAATAGGCAGCTAACCTTTTATGCAGAAACAATCGGAATATCGATGTAACATTAAAACTGGTTATAAAAACAAAATTATTATAAGGAGGCGTTAGAATCGACTGATCCAAATATTTGTTCAGGATCGAATCGGCAAAAATTTCCTTCGCCGATACTGACTCCTCCTTATGGAATTTTTTCTTTAGCATATCGTCGCCTGAGAATTAGATTAATCCATCTCAAATTTTTGTAATTTTACAGGAGAGCAATTTTAAAAATTAAGTTTCTATTGTTTTCAATAGGATATTTAACCTTATATTGGCTATAATTTAACTTATTATATATATTTCGAATTTTTTTGTGTGAATAGTATAATTATAAAAAATACAAAAAATTTGAATATTTCCAGCGTTTGCATATTTAAAAATTTTATTGTTTGCTAAACTAGTTGTATTAATTCAAAATAATTTCCCAGTGAATGTATATTTAAAACTAACCATGTATAATTTATAGCTATATAATTATAGCTTTCATATTTTTTTTATAATGACTATCAAATGTTCTATCTCAAAGGCTAGAATGTTGGTATGGATGGCTGATTTATAGTAAACGCTTTAGGTTCAAGCGTTGTATTATTTACAAAATCGAGACAATAAATAAGTATAATTTTTTATAAATACAGAGCGTTATGATGAAAACGATATCATAAAATTTGAAAAACATATGTTGTGACATTTCAAATATTACTAAAGTTATGAGGAATCAGCTGTGATTTCGATAGCGTTATATAACGCAATGCTTGAACAAAAAGCGTTAAATATAAAAGCGGCTAAACCTAATTGTGGTATTAAGAGGATCAATAAATAAATAAAATCTTCAGAAATATTCTTTATCGTTTCATACTTTCCGAAAAATTTAAAATTTCTTTATATATAATCTATTAACTTGTATAAATATCGAAGAAAATTTGTTCAGTATTCCTTCGATAAGTTCTAGCGGGACATTTCGAGATATCTGAGGCAATTCTAAGAGCCATTTCGTTGTTTCGCCGTTAGCCATCAGACAGAGATCCTATTAATTGTGCAAAAAAATTTTACTTAGAAAATTAGGCGCTCCCATCCCATAAACAAATTGTGGTTATATTATAGAATATCATCTAGTGTCCCAAAATATGATTGGTTTCAACTTATATTATTACATAATAATTAATACATTATTATTATTACCCGCTCAAATGAAAATGTTGAATTGTGGTGTTGTTAAAAACAAAAAAAAATGGCCTCGAAATTTTGCCAGAATAGTTGCCAATGCCCAAAACTTTCCGACATCTTTTGGCGAAATCTCGAGCGCTTAGGCAATATTCAGGTTGGTTTTAAATACCATAATAGGATGCGAAATTAAGTTAAAGGGGACTTGAAAAAAAAATGGTAGAATTTTCTAGATTTTAATAATAGCGTAAATAAGTAACCTGAAACAGCAAATATGCATCCTGAGAATAAGGTGGAAGATCGTGGTGAGTCGCTTTTCGACCCGAGTCGCTATTGCTTGTCACTTGAATGTTAAAAAATAAATTGATTTAAAATATCGTCATTAAACCGTCTTCTAACTAACATTTTTTGTAAAAAAAATTTACAGGAAAGACTTATTTATAAAAAAACGTATTTTAATATTCATGATAAATTCAAAATTTAAAATAAGATAACAAGGCCTATTAAATGACTAGAATCGTTATTTGTGGCCACTTGAATGTTAAAAATAAATTGATTTATAATATCGTCGCAAAACAGTCTTCTGACGAATATTTTTTTTTAATTTTACAGGAAAGACTTATTTTTAATAAAAAATTTATAATATTCATGATAAATTCAAAATATAAATAAATAACCAAAGAATAACATGAATAAAACATTCCATAAGCTATTTTTTCTAAATTTTTAAGACTGACACATTCCTATTAGCTAACGAACTATTACAAAACATGATAGAAAAAACATTCATAAACCCATAAATGCAAAAAGAACACCTTGAAAATTTTGTTGTTTAGACAGTTTTGCAGTTAGTCCGGCGATATATTATTTCTTACTTTCTTAAAAATTCACATACAGGCTAAATTCTGTGCCCAGCGCACCCTAAGCTAGCCGCCGTGGTATGCTTCTTTAAAATTTTTTATAATACGTGTGAAATATATAATACTGTCAGGATAAAATTAATTAAAAAAATTTCTGTGATATATTTAAAATTCGTATGATAAAAACGTCCTTCTTCGCCAACGAAAGTAAAAAAATGGATTTAAAGACTTGTAAATGTGAACTCGGGTTAAGGAATTTTCAACTCTAGTCTTATATTAATAAATATTTATCTATTTTTCTTTATTTCTTTTATTTTTTAAATTAATCATTCTTCTAACCTGTATTCATTTTAAAAAAAGGGGAAGTATATTATATTAATATCAGTGTCAAATTATTTCTTATATATCAAATATTTATATAATATATTATATTTATTTCCCTATAACTTAATCTCATGAAAAAAAGTCAAAACATTCTAAATTATATTAGAAAGGTAATAAATAATGTAAAATGGTTCAAATCGTAATATTTTTCATAACCTCTTAAAAAGTGGATCTTATTATCCTCTAAACAAGTAGGGTTTGAATTTTTTTACTAGGATCGGGTCGGACCTGAAAAGGAGGCCCCATGCAAGTCTATATCCAATTGATTTAATAAAACGACGAAACGAATAAAACAACAATGTTTGTTAAATTTATATACCACATTTACATGTATGAAAATAACCCTCAAAGCAATCTCTCATTAAAAAAAAATAGAAGATAATGAATAAATATGATTGATTGTTGTAAAGGTATTAAAAATTCTAATATAATAGGAATCACCAAATTATATATCTTAAAAAGTTTTTTTTCAAAAATCTGTATTCTTTTTGAGGATCAATGATCGCATAATTTGACAAGGGAAAAATAGGATACGTTATAATCAGCTGATTCGTAAAAAAAAATTATGGAACACAAACATTACATAAATCAGATCAAATATTGAAATATTCGGTTTAATATGCTTCGAAATTTTAGCTTTGAGTTGAGTTTTTTAAAAAAAAATGTCTAGTAAACTTAGGAAATTCGGATGGCATTATTTTATGAAAAAGTAGTATTTAAAAAATATAAAAAGATACATTTACGTTTTTTTTAAAACAACATAAAATGTAGACAACCTTTTTGGGCAGTTAATGATCGAGAATAGAGTTTTGCCAAACATAAATTTTAATTGCTAAGCATCATATTACCCACATTCATAGTTAGCTGAAATTCACGGTGAAGTATATAAAATATGTTGTCTTTTTGTATTCTTCGCAATGAATTATGTATAGGGAATTCGCGCTAACTGTGAATTCAGCCTTATCCTGCATTCAGAGTTAGTACGAATTCGCGGAGAAATATACAAAATAAGATATAAATATTATAATTTAAAATTCATTTTTTGTATACTTCTGCGAATTCGCGTTAATTGCAAATTCAGGTTAGAGATGAGTCAAATATTTTTTAAATTAAATTGATTGACCCCAATTTTTTTTTAACGTAGACACCCTAACCTACAGATCTACGTTTTAGAGGAATGGGACAGCCATAAGTAGGGTTAGGACCGGACCAAACAAAAATTTATTTTTTAATCAAATATTTTTTCTTATTTTTTAATAAAAACAGAGTTGTTAAAGTATCTAGATATCAAAATGTTGCATCTGTATCTAGATAGATTTATGAATAAAGTATCTGTATCGAAATATTATTTTAGACGTATCTGAATCTGTTTTTAGATACTTTTTAAGATACATTTTGATACTTTTATTTAACGCTTATTTATATTATAAATAAAAATACTTGAATGCAAAATTTATTTTATTTCATATGAGCATATAATTTATATATTATATAATTTATTCCTTGCCTCTTATTTTTTCTGACTTTATTTTTACATATAAAATTTCGATATCTAAATAAATAACTTTTTTTATATGTTAATAATCTGTTTTTTTTTGAAAATATTTTTCAAAGAATTTAATTTTGGAATCGAATAAAATAGAATCGAATAATGTCACTATTCGTAAGAATACAAATAATACAATTATTTGATTCAAAAATATAAATGAAATATGAATAATGCAAATATTTGATGGATAATAAATAATATTTTTTAATTTCGAGCTTTATAACATAAGTACGTTAGATACACTGAGATGGGACTCGACCCTAATATCAAATATGTTTCAAATAAAAAATGGTGGTGCATATTTTCGATCCAGAAACTTTCGGAGTAGTATCTTTCCAAACTACTACATATCTATAATTTGGATCGTCATATGAAATTTGTTAAAGGCATCTTCGCTAACATTTCAAAGTAAGTAATGTGAATTAATGCTTTTAAATGAGGAAAAAGCTATGTTTTTTATATATCAGCAAATTAAAAATTAAACATCTAAAGGATTCTACTGTAAAAAAAAAGCCTGATAATATGGCCTCTCAAAATAAGTTCAAGATAAGCAAAATGGGCCATTCCACGTCAAATCGATCATGATTCGGCCGACCCCTTTTAAAATTGTTAAAAATTTCTGAATTATAGGTTAAAAAAATGAGAAAGCCGTTTATTTAGCTCGATAGCAAACCTGGTTCTCGAGATATAGGGGCTCATAGGTACAAAAAAGAGCCACTTTGGAATCTGAAATTTTTAGAATGCTTATATCTCAAAAACTATTTATAGTAAAAAAAAATATAATATATAATATTGTAGGTAAAAAAAATCTCTAAAGGGCTATCAAAAATAAAAAATTAGCGCCAATTTGAGTCATTAACTTGATGTTTACCTATATTGCTTTATCTGTATTTTTAAACAAAAATGAGAGTTTATTTTCGTTTTTTATTTACCTTTTATAAATATATATAAGATGTCAAATCTAGTTTTGTTAAACGGCTCATTTTGAGGCGATTCTTAAAAAAGGCTAACTCTTTATTTCATCTAGAATAATATTACGCAAGCCTGAAGATTTTGTTTGTAGAAGGAACAAAGGTTTGGACATCTATTAGCGAAATCTCGAGGCTTAGGCAATACTTTTCTGGGTAAAATATTGAGTTAGCCGTTTTAAAAAATCGGTTCAAAACGAGACGTTTAACAACACAGTCAAAACCTTGACGCTATTGACTCTTCCGAAATATATATTTTTAACCAAAATTGAAAAAAAAAATAGTGACGCCTTATGAAATTGGAATTATGGTTAAAATTTGTGGCTAACTTACCAATAACAGAATATTTTCACTTTTTATACTAAAAAAATTTGAACTTCTATTAAATATACTAATTAAACTGAGGGGCAATTCGGCAAATGCCCATTAGACACTAATGTAACAAATTTCCAATAATAAATATCTTCGATATTTTTTTATTATTCATTTTTATTTATAATATAGAAATATAGATAGATAATCATATTCATTCCATAATTTAAAATATAACTGAAACAAAATTTAGTTAGATATAAATAATTATATATTTTAAGAAAATAGAATAGAAAGATAAATAGTTTTAATTGTCTCATCCTTATGTAATGTTCGTCCGATAACAGTTGAAGAACTGAACACATCTAAAATTTGTGATTTATGTTTTCAAAATTTATCAATCAAGGAGAGATATGTATAAGAATTTGAGTTCCTGAGGATGCAAAAAACTAATTAACACCTTTTTTCGCTTTTTTTTCTAAAACATAGACCACCCATCATTGATTGTCATAGATACATGTTATATATCCATTTATTTTTACATGTAGTAAATTCGCATTAATATTCGAGTTAAATGTTATATTTAAGTTGAATAAAATTTTGCTTCTATTTTATCCTGAAAAATTGAATGAAAAGTATGAAATTTTTGCGTTCCTGGAATCGTACGCGCTTTATTGAATCTCTCTTCTGAAATTATTCTCTTTCTCATATTCGTCTTCCATAATATAGGAGAAATCTATACCCTTATAACATATATCAATAAATTATAAATCTTATACCTTTGATATTTTCCTTATAATAGGTAAAAAAAACAAGTTATTTGTTCTAAAACAGGTCTTTGTAAACTAGCCCTGGCCACTAAATGTTTGACTGTACCTCCGACCCCGTTACAAGCTGTTCCATGAGATGTGGCCCAGAAACTCAGCTTTTATCACAAAATCATCTTCATGGTGGCAAAGATTGATTCAATTTTTGCGATTTTTATATTGTGCTGCTGCTTCATCTGAGAAATAGAAAAAAATTTTTGTAAGCATGTCTTTATAGATTAAATGGGTTGCAACATTTTGATATTATAACAATTGGTATGTCCATCTGTGATATAGAATAAAATTTTAATGATCTGCACCTATATTATATGTTTTTGCACTCTCAAAATCCCGCTTTTTGAAAAAAATAGATCTTTTGATGGCGATGGCGCCAGTGTAGTGACTGGGAAGAAATCTGGTGTAGTAACGCGTTTTTGCGCACTATACCCAAACTATACCCAACG